TTATGTTTGTTACTCTCTTGTAACACCTCTAACTCTAATCTGATTCATCAATGTCATGCTCATAACTGTGCCTGAACTGCATGCGGGGAACCACTGCTTTTTCTTTCCTAATCCTTACTATTGTCATTTTTCCTCTACTTCTTTTGTATGTTTGTCACTCTCTTGTGACCCTCTATATCCGGGGTGCCTTGATAGTCGAAGCAGACTTTGTGCTGTTGAAGCTAGAAAGGTGAGCAGAGTAAGCCTGATTCCTTGTAAGGACTTCTCTGTTGACATCCACCCCTTGGCGCTCATATGACCTTATTCAGTTACGAGCACTGTAAAAACTCTACTTACTAAAACTTAAAAAAAAACTAAACTCTGTTCAGCTGGAGAAGGCATCCGTAACTGTGACGGGCGGGACGTGGACGGCTGCACGTTTTACTTCACCTACACATACACCAAAGACAACGAGGTCATCATCAGGGTGCAGAATACCAAAAGTAAGAAATGAATGGTTTGGAAAACTCAACCTTCTGTGTGGGTTATTGGTGGGTGCTCTGGTGTATTTTTTCTCCTTTGCTCTCAAATTTCTATTGTCCTTATGTCTCCTTGTTTTCAGCGTATGTTACTCTCTAATTACACCTCTAATTTTCGGCACTTATATGGCCTATTTATGTTGAAATTGCTGTAAATCTTTTACTTTAACTTTATATGTTATTTTTATTCTTTTTTCTTTTTTGAAGGCAATTAAATAATTACAAAATCATTTTATTCATACAAAGAGAACAGCACCTGGAGTCATTGAGACACAGAAACATTTCATCTGCTGCATGTTCTGCCCTGTGTAGTTGGAGATGTTTTGTTTTATTCAGAGTGAAGTTGGCTTGGACCACAGTGTGTGTTTTAGAGGTCGAATCATACTATGAAAATATTTGATGCCTTTTTCAATATGCAAAAGTCTCTTAAAGTAGACAAAAGGTTTACAGAGCAGATAAGAAAATTTTTGGGGTCTAAATTCAGTATTAAAAAGTCCAAGATAGTTTGCAATGACAAAAATCATTAAGCTATTTTGCTTCAAGGTTTTAGGTAGAGACTATGACACTAAAGTCATAATTGCATCATAAATGTTTTATCTCAGTAGTCTAGTGGTTAGGCTACAAGAATCATAATCGTGAGGTTACAGAGTCAGGGGTTCAAATCTCAGGCCCGATGTTGTGTCCTTAGGAAAAGCACTTTACATGAATTTTCATCACTTCACCCCAATGGGAATTGGATACCCGACCATAGACAGAGAAGGATCTTGTCAGTATGTTAAGTATTTGAGCGCCTATGAAAAAACAGCTTGCACAGTATGCTTCCCCGGAAGTGGAGATTGTTTCGAAATGCTACCAGGTCTGCTGGGGTAATGATTATAAATTGTGAAGTGCATAGAGCTTGCTGTTGAGCGGGAATTTGCGCTGTACAAATGCTATCTATTATTATTATTATCTGGTGCAGAATGCCCGGAGGACGCCCCTGTGAAGGCCATTGTTGGTGGAACCATAGCGGCTGTGGTGCTCATCCCACTCCTCATCATTTGCCTCATCATCTTCATTCGCAATCGGCGCGACGCGAAGGAGTTTGCAGATTTCATGAAAGAAAGAGAAAAGGCCAAGTGGGATTCTGTAAGTTTGCATCACTTGTGTTTGTGTTAGAGTAAGGGCTGTTGTGTGGTGTCAAGGTTTCTCTGTATTTTATTGGTTGTACCTTCTGTTCTTGTTCTATTGCTGTTTAAAAATAATAAATGTAGGGCTTTTTTCCCATCTTATGATCTGAATTGGTATCACATGTAAGTTGCGAAGGAATTGTGTCACAAAACAAAAGTAATTGTTATGCTTCAAGAAAATAAAAAAACAAAAAACAAACAACAACACCCATTTACAGGAATCAGGAAAATTGATTAGAAAAGATGACGGTAATGGATCAAATTGTGGAGAAAAATTTTTAGGGTTTTTTATTTTCAGCTTTTCAGGTGGTCCAGTACAGTTGTTTTTCTTTTCTTTTCAAACTTGCCATTGTATTTATGTACTGCTGATGGGTAAGTGCACTGGAGCGGTCTTCTCTTTTTTGTTTCTTCCATTGTCCAAATGTATTCAAAGTAAAAATATATCTGTCTTGTTGAAACCGTAAATTGCAGCACAATCTAGAACTCAGCCCTTTCTACTTTCCTTGTTGTTCTCATACCCTTTGCTGTAATAATAATAATAACCATAATAATAATAGTAATAAATGACATTTATATAGCCCTCAACCTCAATTAAAGTAAACAGGCTCTGAGTGCAAATACAACAGTAACATAAAACGTGTCCTGTCTGTTTATAATTCTCCACCTCTCACACAGGAGGTTGGAGGGCACCACTGGTAGGTCCAACTTCTTTACTTTCCCTCTGTGGTTTCTGTCTGTTGGTCTTACTTTTTCCCCAGCACTAGATGACCATTATTGTGTGGATGTGTCTCTCTTTACTCTGACAAACAAATGATCCACCCCTCATTACTTAGCTCTTTCCAAGCCCAATTAATTATCACTTATGATATATATATTGGTGACATAGTGTGCAGTGAATTGTGTGGAAAGAGCTAATCTCTACCGAAAGTGTGTACAAGAATTTTGTTTTGTTTTTGTAAGCTGTCAAATCTTGGTCTTCAAGTTACTGTTCATATTTTAACGGATATTTTGTTTATTTGTCAATGTGAATCTATAGAATTGAAAAGTTGCTTATCTGATTATTTTTTTTTCGTCTCCAGGGAGCAAATCCAATTTACAAAGATCCAAAGTCAACATTCCAGAATCCCACCTACAAGGGCGGAAAGAAATAAACACACACGTTTGCCAAGACTGGCGCAGTTTTCATTTCAAAATGCTATTTGATGATGGGAATGTATCCGTTCCTCTCTGTGTAAATTTACCCCTAGTCCTGAGTCCCTTTTCAAATCTTTTTTAAGGAAATTTGTTGTCCCTGCTTTCATCTCCCGTTCTGTGTGATGACAAAGCACCAAGTTTTCAGCACAAAATGTCTGTCCTGCAGGAAATGATTAAAGCCGTAGCAGTTCCCGTTAGATGGAGTTTATGAACAATTCGATCTGATAGTGTGGGGAATGAAAAGAATGCATAAGATTGTTTGTTTTAACCCTTCCAGTTTTGACCAAAGCATCGATTGATAAAATGAAATGTATGAGCTGATTTAGCTTTGCTTAGTATATTTCAGTGTGAGACTGAATGAAAAGTTTTCACTTGGTGTTTTAGCTGTATGGTAAAATTCTTTTATAATAGGAAATGATTCTCATAGCTTCATCACTGTATGGACTCTCTTTGAGTTGTGATTGTTTAATACATTTTTGTTCCTTGGAGCGTATCATTTCAAAGGATTTTCTAAATGGTATAATAACATACATAAAAGTTATATAGACGAGAAGTATGTATGCAGGTTCTGAAATGAGAAAAGGCTTGGGGAAAAAAACCCAACCTACTTTTGAGATACCTTTTATGTGCCCAACACTTGTTCGATACTAGGTTTGTGCTGGCATGGTCGGTGAATAGCTGGGGGGGGGGAGGGGGTAGGTGGACTCGAGCTATGACTCTTTCGAGTAAGGACCATAATCTCAGAGGTTTCATGGGTTGCGGTTGTCGGAGCCTAGTGAAGGTCGATGGAGAACAAGCCAGCTTACATGGTTTTGCGGTCAGAATTCTGAATCCATGGAATTGAAAAACTGCTGTATAAATAGGGAATGAGTACCTCCACAAATGGTATAAAGATACCTCAAAGTAAATCACCCAATGTTATACTTGGCTTATATCCCTTACATATACATTTAAAAAGTCAGTTTGATGATTCTCCTATTGATTACCCTTGAGATCTAGCATGGAAAGAAGATGAACTGCTTTGGAAAGTGACTTGGTACAATTCGGAGGTCTATGATTGGTATATTTTTCCATTATGTGGCCAGTTGGTATTAAGTTTTCTTTTATAGGAGTTTTTAATCTATGTCAGACGTGGATATCGAGTTACTTTAACCATGTCACATCAAAAATATGCATGAGTGATTATGTTTGTGTGCAGTGAGTTGCTTACGCGCTTGGGAGAATTTGTTATGTTCGGACTGTGTGGTTTTGAAATGCCATGCTTGTAAAATGTACTCTGATGATTTTAGCTTAGTGTGGCTTGTTATGTTATGATCTGGAAGACTGTGGAGTTCAATCTCTGTTATGAAAGTTTCTGTATGTGTGTACTGTTGATGGGATCATCATTTATTGCTTTGATGTAAAATAAAAACCATAAAACCAAACGTGTCAGGCTATCTATGTGTTTCCAAGTGCTTAGCTTCACTCAAACTATGTCTGCTTTCCCTTTATGTATGCCTTTCTCTCACTCACCTGCACTTGTATATGCAACAGTTTTTAATTTTTGTACAATTGTTTATTGCATTTAGAAAATTAAGCTGAAAAATGTGGGATTACTCTTTTCAGAGTTACATTAGAGTTCATGCATGTTTATGGTTTGGCACTTTTGTGTGTGAAGGAGACATCAGTGTAGTGTACAACGCCAGTGCCTCGTTTGTTAGATATTGGCATTCTGCCATTGAACTTCTTTGTTGGCTAGCATTTGAGGCTGAGCAGTCACAGCCAACAGTTTGTGTGATGTGCACTCAACCTGTCCAGGAGATCAAATCATTGACGTGGAGGTTGCTAGTGTGAAAGGTAGTTCTACACCAAACACTTGTTTTTCCATTTGTTTGTTTTTTCTATTTTTATAGAACATGGTTGTGAATGTGAAAGTTTCAATGAACTTTGGCTCATTTTGTGAGGTTGACTCAGGACCGTTGTGCTGTGGCTAGTGGACCATTTTATGCTGAGTTGTGGCTCAATTGTTTTATGACTGAATGATCATTCTCTTTATTTGGTTGTGCCTTTAGTTGTTTTTGTTATTGTACATGTTCATAGTTTACATTTCCCTTTTATTATTATATACGTACATATACATAAATGAATATATATATATATTATATAAAGACTACGTTATGAATATACACAAGGTTCCTTTATCAATTAAAATATCTTTACTGCCATCTGTAATATGTACCGTCCATATGGTCATAACACACCTCTCTGTAAGGTAATTGGTTGTCAAATTTCTGAGCTTATTTAAGATTTTTTTTTTTTCAGTTCTTCCTTTTTGTAATGAGTTGTTATCACACCCTGTGTATCAATTGCCATCACACTAGTGTAATGTCTTACTGTGGTTCAGGGACAAAGAGGGGATTCCTACAACAAGACCTTTGTTCAGCTGTAGATTATAGTAATTTAAGGTTCTTGCATCATTCCGCAAGCTGAGTGCTGAGGTTGTGATGATGTTTTGGGGGGAGAGGAGGGGAAGGGAAGGAAGGAGAGTGAGAGTAAGAGGAAGACGACTGTCTATTTGGATAGCTTATCTTTTTGCTCTCCTGCAGCTTCACCATATTATGCCTCTCCGTACTCTCTCCTTTTGTTTTCCTTCTTTTTTTGCGTTTGAATATCTGAGTTGGCTGAGCTTGACGGCGGTACTTACATGACACAAAGTAACTTTTGTGCACTAGATTCTTTCATGGCCAGCTGTGGTACATATCACACCTTTTGGTAGTCTTACTGTATGTCTTATGATAATAATGGAATTTGCATTATAACCGTTTCCATCATTTCCTGAATGTATGCACACTCCAACCCTCCCCCCACCCCCACGATTTACATTGTGCATGTTGCTGGTTGTAGTGAAAGAAGTGTGAGTGAGAGCTGAGTGAGGAATGTCTTACACTTCTGGTGCCGTGTAAAATGCCAGCAAAGTTATTGGGCTTGTATGAACCAGATTTTTTAAAATATTTTTTGGACTGGTTGATTGATCTTATTTCTGATAATGATAGCGCATGCACATCCACTGTTCTCTTCATTTCTATCTCTGCAGATGTTTTTGCATTCTTTTGGTGCCCAGTTTTACTTTGACTATACATAACAAAGATTAATTAGTCTTCCTGATGATTGTCTTTGGTGTTTTCTTGTGGCTGTGTAGCAGTTGCCTTTTCTTGTTTTTTGCTATTCGAGCATTAATCAATAGAATTCAACTTTAAATGAAATGTCTGGTAGGGATCTGGTCTTTTTGTCTTTTAAACGTTTGATTTGCTGTCTTTTTAGTAGTAAGTCTTTCTTCACCTTACACTCAGACGACATTCGTTTACTTCCCATGTGGAGAAGGTCCGCTATATCCCACAGAGAATGCCTCCTATCATAAGTCATGCCGATGGAGGCTTAAATTATAAGACAGTTACTGTCACTATGAATACTGTCATTTTGAAGGCCTTGCTCAGTAGATGAATTGTGGGCTTGGTGTATGATATGTGTCATCTGTGAACATTATCATTCTACCCACTCCACATACACTGACACTAGAGATCTCTAACACAGGTCAGTAGTTTCTTGTTAATTCTTTTATGTTAAATATTTGTGTTGTTTCGTAATGATTTTTACTAGCTTTACATGTTGCACTTTTTTTTCCACTGAAAGGAATTTGTTAGTACCAGCACAAAAAGATATGTTGTTCAATTTGAAAGGACCAATCATTTGCTGTGTACATCCAAATGTGACAATGGTGAACAATAGCGCCTTCAACAAAGTAATGAAGTGTACCATTAGTGTTTTAAAATGAGAATTCTCCTTTGAGATAGAGCTTCATAGCATGCTCTGCTTATATGTAAACCTTTGACTGTCATTTTGCTACCTATACATCGTTATAATGTGCTGGAATACTGGATGTGCTCCAGGGACAGTTTTGTGTGCCTACCTGCACTGCTTTAGTCAACGTTATCTTTTGGTGCTTATGTTCATGTTCTGTTTGTTTTTTCTGGTAAGTTCTTCCACAAGTATAGACTTGGTCTCTGACAAGAATGTTTTGGTAGTAATAAACAACTCAAAGAATAGAATCTGAAACTTAAGGTATATATGCACTCACTGAGGGAAAAAAAAACACACTAGAATTTTTTTGGCAGAAAAGAAAATAGGGAGAATTTTTGTGTGAAAGTGTGACAATAGTGCCGGAGAAAGGAATTTTATTGTTCAAGCACAGAGGTCAAAAGGTGACAGATAGAAAGACATCTACCATTAATAATACTCAGAAGAGGATAGGTTTCATGTAATGTACATTTTACAAGTTTCAGTTTAAGATTTCCTTTTTTTGAATATTGGCCTAAATGAAAATGATATGCATTTAAATCATATATCTCCGATTCCGATTGCCATAAATTTCTGTTCATTTGGGTCTCAGGAGCTTTCAATTTGCAAAGAATGTTGTTGTGATTTTCAAGACGAATTCTTTAATGCAAGTATCGCTGGTCCTTAAAAGTTTTTAGAGGCTTACATCACAGATATGATCATGGCATCACATACAACAAAGTATAAGGTACTTTCGTCTCTGTATCAGTGAAGACAAGTTGAGAACATAGAGGAATGCAGGGGATTTTTGCAGTTGATATGTGCAAGGAAAGGTCACCAATTTGGGCATTCAAACAGTATATTTTTTTTTCAGTACGCTCAACACTAGAATTTTATTATCCGTAAAGTTGTTTACATGTTTTTTAATGTGATAATCTGATTGTTCTTTCGAATATTAATCCATATCTAAGCAATTCTTGAATGAAGACATCTTCAATTTTTTTCATTGTTGCAATTGCAGCAAAAGTTAAATGTGTCGTTTATAATTATATATATATATATTTATATATAGTGATGCACAGATAACTTGAACACGTAAAACTCGAAATCACTGATAGTTTGTACAATTTGCCATTCCCGCACTGATATCTCTTTAATTTTTCCCCATGCGGTTTCCAACACATTTGTCAGTCCCCAACATGTTCGAGTTGTCTGTATCCGACTGTTACTTTTGTAACTTCAACTGAAAGGCAGAATTTTTTTAAAGCCCATTGGGTATATTGAGATGGTATCCTGCTTTATGTTCAGAAGAGGAGTTGAAAATTTGTAGGGCCTACAGGTCTTCCCTCTGTTCACGGAACAGTTTCAGAAAGGTGAGTGAGGATTAGAGTAAGTCAACGACCTACCTGTTATGTAATTGTATCGTGCCGTCTTAGAGCTTGGCGGATAGCAGCGTCATTTCACAATATCAGAGGTGCCGATTTTTCAAATAAACCGGGTAATCCAGATTTCTGAAATTGTCCTCATCTCATACTGCACTTTACGTTAAAAAATAGTCTTGACACAAGATGTATTAGTCAATATAATTGGTAAATTTGAAGTCCCAGCATGACCATGGGGTCCAAAAAGTGCAGGATTTTTTTTTGTTGATTTGTAGCTAGTTGGCACCTCTGACAGCATGCTCCATACCCATTCATTCCATATCTTTCTCAGCTGCAGTATATTATTACACATTTGTATTTGCTGTTCTATCTCCTTGTTATTACTGAATACATTAACGTTCAACATGTACCTTTGTATTGACCAATGTATGATAATTGACCTGTGTGCTGATCTTGCACAGTAGGCCTATTCCTATTGATCACACCCGCTTTGTTTTTTTGTACCAGATGTTATTTCCTTCATTCGCCTCCTGTATTCTGTTGGTGCGTGTATACTATAGGCCACCTCAAGCTTTCATTTGTAATGCACAAAAAATAATTTGTCGTTTGATTCATCTCCATTAGAGCTGATGGATGTAGCCTTTTCTGTCACATTCAGGTTGCAGTAGTTGTTGGATGTGTAATTCCAGTAGGATAGGGCGTCTCTCAAAATTTGGTCGACAGAGACGGCTTTTTCATTTCGTGATCTGAAAGAGGGCCATATAAAATTCATCCAGATTTTTTAATTCTGAGGCTCTATAGGTTTTTGATTGTGTGACAAAAATGTTAATTATATATATATATTAGTTGTATTGGACCACTTCTCCCACCAAGTCAAGGGACCTTTGAGCTCACAGTCCGTCTTCACCACTAAAGTACTGAACGCCCACATTTTGAAGAGTCATAGGACTAAATAACGTTGAATTAGAATAGAAATCACGGAAGCTGTGGTTATTAGTCTAAACTATGATCCTGGCGTATGCTCATTGAGAGAAAGTTAATGCTTGTACCATGTAGCAGGTTTATATTTGACAGTGTTTAGCAGATAAATAATTACAGAATGTAGGCTACTATTGACCACATCTACAACAGTTCTTGTTGTAGTGATAAAGTTGAAGTCGTCTTGGAGTAGACTACATTTTTCATATAGATACAAGTGAAAGTGATAAATAAGATACTTCTTAGCCGCAGGTTGTGAATGGGCAGCTGGATGAAATGAGTTGCATGTAGATCTATATTTCATCTTTTCCCAAGCCCATTATATTATGATGTACATAGACCTCTAGGCATACCCTCATAACTGTTTTGTATTGAGCAAAAGGTAGGCCTTGCATTTTGCAAAGAGATTTCTCAAACTTTATCCTTTGATTTTAATAGAACTTTGTTGATAGAAACTTGAGTTTCCTGTAGTGTTGTCTGCCATTAGTGGTATTGTGTTTGTGCTTACTTTATATCTTATTTCTTTAACTGGTCCAGAGTTCAAGAGTTGGGCATTTTTTTAGATTTTATTTTTGTTTTTCAAACCTCTTAGTTTTGGGCTTTGTATTGCTTTTTTGTGTTATTTATACATAATTTTAGTTACATTTTTTTCTCAAGTTTTTCAGGTAATGTAAAACTGCTACAATTAGTACTAGTGCTAGTGAATCAGGTTCCTATTGCATTGAATTCATCGTCTCGTGATTCTCCTCATGTGTCTTGAGTCGTCATTCCGGTCGCTGCCTTTGTTCACAGTAATGTGTTACTAAATAAACCAATACTGCTACTCTTCATGATCAGATGGTGTGGAATGAGTTGTGCTTCCTTTTTGACTGATTATGTACATGTACATTGTATGTATGCCATTGCATTTCTGGTCTATGCTTGTGATTATAAACTCTTTTCCTCCTCTCCTTGTTTGCCTGACTGAATAACTGATTCTGAAAAACAATATGTTCCTCGGTCCTATCTCCACGATAAAGCTCAGGCAACTTCACAATACCTCTATAATCTTCATCTGCCAGTCACGATCACAATCCCATGAATGACATTGCAGCCTATCACTGCTCCTTACCCACATATTATATTGTTCACAAATCTCTACCAAAGACAATATATATATATATATTATGTACCACTTCGTAAATTAGTGGAAGACGGTGTGGTGTGAAATACGCCCTTTTCAACTTTGAGTTGATAGGTTTTTGTTGTGTGTGGCGGGACCTGATTTTTCCAGGCGAACGGTATGACTGAGCAATGTGGATGAAGAGCAACGGAAGCTCAACATAGTAAGTTCAAAAGCACCCTGTTACTAGTTAGGGTTCCAGCCCACAGAGATTGAGTCGTGAATTGTAGTCCAACAACAGTGCAACCACAGATCAAAATTATGGAGCGGACTAGAAGCCCTGGTCTGTTGGGTCTCAGTATAACATTCCTCTGCTGTTGCTGTTGCTGTTGCCTCGTCTAGTCCTTCCCACTGCATTTTTTGTCTTCATCTCATTATATTTATGGAGAGGTCTCTTATTATATCAATTTTTTAGTTTTAGTAAGAGTTTTACGGCACTTGCAACACAATAAGGTCATATAAGTGCCGAAGATTAGAGGTGTTACAAGAGAGTAACAAACACAAAAAAGGAGGGGAGATAGAGATGATAAGATTTTTTATAGGAAAGGGGCAAACCACACCAGAGCACTTGCCAACCACCCGCTTATTATTTCGATGTGCACCGTGGAATCGAACCAACAATTTTCATACAAGATTGCGAGTCTCTTGTATTGATTTCTGCATGGTATGTTGCCATGTTCAGCAGTTTGGTTACAAACCTCTTCAACTTCAAGCTGTTCATAGATGTTCATAGGCGATGTACATTGCAGCTTTTTTATTCACAACTCCAACTATCTAGTCTCGCGGTCTTTCTGCTGGAATGTTGTATCCCTCTCAAACCAGGTTGGCTCCGACAGCCAGGATTTAAGCTTGCCTCTTAGATTATCTAAATTAAATAGGCCTACTACATTATTGTGTTAACTGACCCTCCAAGGCCTTCCTCATAATAAGATCACCTACAGAGTGGTGTGTCATCAAATGAACAGACAAATCGAAGTTATAAAATGCTAAAAATTAGTCAAACCAAATTTCGTGACCACCTCACCACCTCTTGTCTTTTTCTTAATATTGTAATGCTGCTGTCCAAGACCACCACATCCATGTTCAATGCGGACAGTTTAGTTTTAGTAACTGTTTTACGGCACTTGCAACACAATAAGGTCATATAAGTGCAGAAGAATAGAGGTGTTAAAAGAGAGTAACAAACAAAAAAGGAGGGGAGATCAGGACAATAGACGTTTGATAGGAAAGAAGGAGCAAACCACATCAGAGCACCCGCCAACCACCCACGGAGGAGGAGGAGCGATAAGGGCGATGGATGTTTGATGGAAAAAAAGGAGCAAACCAAACCAGAGTACCCGCCAACCACCCACAATGCAGAAAGTGACTACTATAATACATGTATAACAACTAACAGGAACAGCCCAAAAAAACTGTCCAGGTAGACCATTCAAATCTCTCACCACCAGACCCTTTTTCCTTCCCTCCAAAAGAAAAGAAAAACCCATTATAATTTATAATGGGCCGTACAACAGTCTTTAGTCTTCAACTTCAACAATCTGGTTGGGACATCAGAAAAGAATCATTTTTCCCCCCTTCAATTTTTTGGTTTTAGTGTTTTTTACGGCACTTGCAACACAATAAATAGGGTCACATAAGTGCCGAAGATTAGGTGTTACAAGAGAAGAACAAACACTTTAAAAGGAAAGAAGCAACCCAGACAAGAGCACCCACCAACCACCCACTCCCTTCAATTTTATCTGACCTGCCTGAGATTATAATTATCACTTTTCTCAACAACAGATGGTCGTCTTGGGACAGGTTTGGGTGTAGTATGCTATCGGTCATGGAAAAAATATAAAATTAGAATGGACCGTATTAAGAACTGATAACTATCAGGCCAGCAGGAAACCCTCCTAAACTCTTGTTTTAGATTAAATTAAGTAAGAGTTTTACAGCACTTACAACACGATAAGGTCATAAGTGCTGAAGATTAGAGGTGTTACAAGAGAGTAACAAACACAAAAAAAGAGATAGGGACTATAGAGATGTTTGATAGGAAAGAAGAAGCAAACCAGACCAGAGCACCCACCAACCACCCACACACAAAGTTGCAAGTGGTACCTGCCAACCACCCACTTTTAGTTTTAGTAAGAGTTTTACGGCACTTGCAACTCAATAAGGTCATATATAAGTGCTGAAGAAGAGAGGTGTTACAAGAGAGTAACAAACACAAAAAAGGAGGGGGGATCAAGACGATAGATATTTGATAGGAAAGAAGAAGCAAATCACACCAGAGCACCCGCCAACCACACACCGAGCAAGACAGCATGCTGAAAGGAAATAAATATACCATACAGCGAAAGAAGGGGTAAGAGTACGAAAGGCAACAAGTAATGAAAATGCTACAATCTATCAACTTCAGACTCAGAAACAGGAAGATCTCTCTACAAACCCAACCCCAAAGACCCATCGCATCTCTTATGTAGAGCTGATCAGACTTTGATCTTCAGAGCGCACACAGGACATTTACACACCAACAAGCACATAAATAGAATTAACCCCATGTGGGAACCCCTTTGCAGACACTGTGACTACCAAGGAGACCGTTGAACATCTCCTCCACTGCCCAAACCTGGCAGTTCTTCGACGCAGGCTCCTACACACACCTACAGACTTACAAGGCCTGCTCTACTCTGGCGCTGACCAGATGACAAGGACATGTGGCTACTTGAGGGAGGCATTGTGCTGCCAAGAGCGAAATATTCGCAGCTAAAGGGATTTGAAAACAACAACATCAATTTCAGAGCAGAACGTTTCACATGTAGCAAAATAAGTCAGAACACATTACGTGTCACTATGAATGTAGTTAGTTCAAGTTTTCTCTACAGGGATTTTTAAAGCATTACATCTACTTGTTGAATGTGCCTTATCAGCTACTTGACAATCTGTTCATGGCCAGCAACTCTCAAGTGTTATCTTAACATCCAAGTACTTCATGTTATAAACATAAAGCATAAAGCAGTGATACTGACAGAAGGGAAGGAAATGAGAACACTTCAAAAGGAACGGACGAGCTTAATTATGATCACAACACAGCACTGAAAAGAAGTAGCGAATGGAAGGCAGATAGATGACAGGAAAAGATGATCTTAATTATTATCACAACACAGCACTGAAAAAAAGTAGCGAATTGAAGGCAGAAAGATGACAGGAACAGATGATCTTAATTATGATCACAACACAGCACTGAAAAGAAGTAGCGAATGGAAGGCAGATAGATGACAAACCGAGACACAAGCAAGAACAAAACAAATCCCATTCATCTGAAATATATAGCCAGTATTTTTATTACACAAATCTTTCACACGTTTAAGACTTTCACATAATGCCAGAGTTACAGTACTTGAATTTGATGGAAAAAAAAAATATTCAATGCAAGTTACCTGACATTTTTTGCCAATCAATGAATGTGAAATGAAATCTGTCGGAAGGGGGGGATTCGAGGCCTAGGACAAAGAATTTAAGGGGGAAACAAGAGACAATCTGTACAACTGACTATGTACATCAAATAAACTGAAGTCCTTTCAGACTGGCTTTGAAACAACATGTATGATCAAATGACAAGATGCAATGAATAATGATGAGCTACATGACAGAATTGAAAGCTGACAAAACTAAGCTTATTTACAAAACAAGTTTTCTGATGATATACAAAACAAAACCAAAGAGATAGAAAAAAAAAAGCATTAACATAAGTGACAAAACAGGCTTAAATTGGATAATACATTTTGAGTTATTTTTATCAATTCTATCAGCTGAAAAATTAACGTAATCCAAAGGCAATGATTGGGATAAATACAAAATACAGTTTGATTTTTCCAGTACTTCAAAGAAATGATAAAATAATTTACTGGACCTGAAACTACAAGATGGACATTCATTATGATCTATTTTTGATAGACAACCTCTGATGTGCTGAAGACAAAACAGAAAAAAAATAATCCCTAAACACCAGAAAAATCTCTCAAAATGTGATTTGACTGATCGTGTCATGAATAGATGACTCTGTTCAGGTACTCTAGTAAACAGTGAATCCACAATCAGTATTTACAGGTAACAGCTAAAATATACACAACACAAAAAATTTAAAAAGCTTGTCAATACAAACACTACAAAATAAAATCTTTAAAAATAACTCCAAGTGAGAAGATAATGGAGGAAAGAAAAATAAAGAAACTCAACCTTCCGTGACCTTGAATGGGTGTGTTTCAGATTTTAAAAATAAATATCCCAGCACAAACTTCTCAAAAATAACATGAGAATCGTTACTGCCATTTCATGCAAAGGATGATGGAGATGGGGGGAAAAAAACAACCAAAAAAATCCCTTCAAGGGCATGGAAAGGTTGAATGTTACACACTTGACCAAAAAAAGTGCAGCTGAAAAAACCACATCAGAAATCCCAACACAGCGGCCCTAGCAGCGCAATAGGTGGTGGCGGCCCCTCGACCGGGCCAGGAGAGTAGACAGACAGACAGACCAGCTCCCTGGCCCACCTAGAGGGGGTGAGGGGGGGAGGCTCCTCGCTCCACACCACTCAGTTGTTCCAGTAGGGAGGGGCTCCGCCGTATGACTTAGAAGCTCCAGTTTTGCCTTGGCTCGTATTCTGGTTTAGCCCACGGCTGCTGGAGCTGCTTGAATCCTGAAAGTAAGGGAGAAATAGAATTGGTCTTTAATTTTGTTTTGTTTGTACCGTTCACTCAACTTTTTGAAGACCCAATACAGATGTTTGAACTAGTCCAGAACAAGCCCCCCCCCCCAATTGCTGTACATAATGTCAAACATCTGTTAGGGTAGCACTAAAACCTTGTCTCTGTACAACAAAGTGCTAGTTCTCCCTGGGCTTCATGAAGCAAACAGGTACAGTGGAAACCATATATAACAGGCCAGGTAATAACGGATCTGGTTATTAAAAAAATCCCAGTTTTTTTCTACTTTGTCTACATTAAAAGTTATCAGCAATAACAGGGCCTCATTGGAGCCCAATCGGTTATAGCAGGGACAAAGGCTTGTTAACAATGTGGGGAGAGAGAGAGAGAGAGAGAGAGAGGGAGGGAGGGAGGGAGATGGAGAGAGGGAGAGAGGGAGGGAGAGAGAGTGTGAGAGTGTGTGTGTGTGTGTAATGCAGTGATAGAGCAAGCCCATGAAAGCCACACACCACTCAAGCACACGCAGCGGGTGAAGCGAGAGGGCTGCGGTGTGCAGCAGACTTCGATCTAGCTGCAAGCCTAGCTACACACTACAAGCACACGTAATGTGTCATGCACAGGCTTGCCACAATGTCAAAAACCCTGTTCGTGGGTATTTGTGGCAAGTTAAGTAAAACTACCCTAGAATAAATACAGCTTCCCTTGCATTTCTGATTTAACAGGGATCTGATATGACGACTTTTTCTCTGGTCCTTCCATCGCTGTTATATCAGGTTTCCACTGTATAATTTACCTATCTGAAAGGGCTAAAACTAGATTTACATTTCTTCGGAACTTCACTAAGAAATGGTAGTTGGTCAGTTTATGAATGTCTTCAGAGATTCTACAGAAGAACGAAAGTCAATAAGAATTTTCATCATTCCAACTACCAAAATCATACGGTGTAGCAACTAAACCTCCAAATTATACCTTTAGTTGCCCAGTGCCCCAATGATAACCAGAAATGCCTTAAAAACAAAATGAAAGAACGGAGAGCCAACAAAAAACCCCTTGCTACAGCTACACCACAGATACCAATGCAGTCACATCCTATAAACGTTTCTTCAATTTAAAAAAAATGAAAATTGAAAAAGAACAATGTTGGCGAACAAAAACATAAAAATCCCACCCCACAAAAGAATTCTCCAGCAAATTTTATATTCTTCTATAATACTACATTTCAACAACGATCATATTAAACACTCTTCCCCACGAAAGTACAAAAGTTCCGACAATGACATGGCTTTTGTTGGTCAGGCTAAAAAATTCTTCAGCGTAAAGTACAGAAGAACGAAAGTCAATGTATGATTTTCATCATTCCAAACAAATGCCAGTCTACAGTATTAAACCTACAATAAAAACCAGCAAACAACAATCCCAACATAGCACCACTTCTTGCGGTGTCCATGAAGGAAAGATGTGCGAGTGTCTTTTCTTTCGTACTCCTTTGCTCCCTCCTCCTCCCATCACGTCTTAAAGAACTTTGCAACCTAGCAGTGTGCATATCGTTTGCACAATATCAATCTACTGCAAGATGCTTTCAGAACAAGTTTGTTTCCCCCAGTTACGTTTTTTGGCAGATTTTGTTAGTTCTAAGATCAGGTACATAGCCATGTAAATAACACTGAGAACGTACAGGCACACTAGAATTTTACAGTTCTTAACAAAAATCACTGTATAAAGAAAAGACACATGTCTGGTGCAATTGTTGGGACACCAAAGAAAAACTTTAAAAACAACAATGCAGCAAACAGAACACAAATGATTTCTATTGCCACATCTATAATAGCTTTCAAGCTTATCAATAGTTTTTCTGGATGATGACAAGTCAACAGTAAGTAGATTGTCTGGCTACTTAAAGAGACTGCCAGGAGTCATCTTTGATAATGGCAAGGCATTTGGTGGTCAGGCTAAAAAATTCTTCAGCGTAAAGTACAGAAGAACGAAAGTCAATGTATGATTTTCATCATTCCAAACAAATGCCAGTTTTAGAAAAGTCTACAGTATTAAACCTACAATAAAAAACAGCAAACAACAATCCCAACATAGCACCACTTCTTGCGGTGTCCATGAAGGAAAGATGTGCGAGTGTCTTCTCTTTCGTACTCCCTTGCTCCCTCCTCCTCCCATCACGTCTTAAAGAACTTTGCAACCTAGCAGAGTGCATATCGTTTGCACAATATCAATCTACCGCAAGATGCTTTCAGAACAAGTTTGTTTCCCCCAGTTACGTTTTTTGGCAGATTTTCTTAGTTCTAAGATCAGGTACATAGCCATGTAAATAACACTGAGAACGTGCAGAGTAAAAGTGGGTTCTCAGGCACACTAGAATTTTACAGTTCTTAACAAAGATCACTGTATAAAGAAAAGACACATGTCTGGTGCAATTGTCGGGACACCAAAGAGAAACTTTAAAAACAACAATGCAGCAAACAGAACACAAATGATTTCTATTGCCACATCTATAATAGCTTTCAAGCTCATCAATAGTTTTTCTGGATGATGACAAGTCAACAGTAAGTAGATTGTCTGGCGACTCAAAGAGACTGCCAGGAGTCATCTTTGATAATGGCAAGGCATTTGGTGGTCAGGAAAAAAAAATTCTTCAGCGTAAAATACAGAAGAACGAAAGTCAATGTATGATTCTCATCATTCCAACCAATGCCACAGTTTGATCAACGTCCATAGTATTGATTCCCAAGCTATAATCAAGACAAACGGAAAGAAATTTAAACTACATTACAAAATATTTTTTAAAAATCACAATCGAGATATGGGCTAAGACCATGGCAGGGAACCAAAGAAATGCAACCATAATACAAAACCAGACCACTCTTCTCCAACAAAAAGGGGAAGCCTCAAAAGTTCACATGAACACAACCTAGCTAGTGGGCAGATGGACAGAAGGCACGACTAGTAATCCCTGCTATATATAACTGATTTTTGTGCCGGTTGCCAAACCTTTTCCCCAATACCAATATACCATCATTGTTGAACTGAGCCTCCCTCCAGCAATTACTAGACAATTTATTTTGCTGAACCAACAAAACGATACCAAAACTGAAATTAAACACAATAGGACAGCAGCCCTCAACACTACAGCAATTTACAAAGACCACAATAGTATTTCTGGCAGGTCAGTTGGTCAGATTATAAAATTCTTCAGCGCATATACAGAAGAACGAAAGTCAATGCATGATTCTCATCACTCCAACCTGATGCCAGTGTGTAACAAAATTAGTCACTTTGTGCCTTCACAATATCAGCATTACAAGACTTTTTTAGACCAAACTCTTGTTCAAGAATCAAAATTAATAATGACTGTCCAATAGATAATCAAAGCGGATCTGGCACATTAGTTATATAGAAACAACTACGATCTTGCAGAAAGACAATTTCGGGAGAAAATAACCTTAGCACAACAAAACCTTGAAAACTATCATCAAAGTAAGAGGACCACAAAAAAAAAGGACAAAAATAAAACAAAACAACCCAAATAGGTATGCCACAGAAATACTCTTTTCCTGCACAAGTAGAGAATGGCGTAACGTGGCCAAGTACCATGCACAAGATAATTATATATTTTGAAGAAAAATGGAATTCAAGGAAATTACAAAACCTTGACACAGGTTAGGCTGAATCTGATACGATCTAAAGTGTAAAGTAATGCAATATCTCCCATGTTTTCATGTGCATGGAAGAACCGAGCCTGATGTTTCCCGTTTCTGTACAACACGACACCAACCCCATTCACTGTGATCCCACAACTCAGCACTAGTTTGAAATGGGGGCTGGTGTACACCTCTATTTTTCACACACAAAAAAAACCACAACATCAAGGGATGCTCTTTACCTGCTGCATGGGGTGATGCATCATCTGAGAGTGGGCCTGATGGGCGGCCATCACTGGCAGAAAAGGAGCTCCGTACGGAGTGGTCGGGGCACCCATGGGGCCCGCCTGGGTGGCCGTGGCTAGGGGAAGGTTGAACGGTGGTGGGGTTCCTCCGTGGAAACCTTGCTTGTCAAACCCCTGGGGAACATAGCATCGTGTCGGTGAAAAGTTCAACACAACATAAGAAACAATATGGTGCCATTCGCTTGATGAAAAATAAGCAAAAACCGATTCTCCCCAAATTCTAAAGGAAAAAATAAAAAATATACTATAGACCTAATTTAGACTTCCCGTAACATAAAATCTGCTTATGACGAAACTCTCATCCTGTGAAGTTTGCGCTTTAAGAGTTTTACTGCATTTTACAAGAATCTGTAGAATGATCTACGTCCTTTAGAGACCTCATCATACTTATCATAAAGGTAGTGTTAATAGCGACAGAGTGACGCTGTGGCAATTAATGTGCGTTAATTGCCAAAGAGTGAGTCTGTAAAGCATTCTCACACACACACACGTCCATTTGCACTAATAAGTCACACTAAGTGCCCCTGTAGTGTGTTTCTTATTTAGGCCCTAGATCTAAACTGAATTAAAATTATCTAATCTAGATCTAGATTATATATCTAGAGATAGATTATCTTGGAATCTAGGCTATAATCAAGCTAGATCTAGATTCACTTCCACAATGACCGTCATGTAAACAAACGGGATCACAATTGGACAGGAGTGCCCAGACACACACACGTTTGTGTATCCTTAAACACACACACACCAAACTAACAGACAAACAAAGACAGTGACAGTTGCAGCTTTCTTCTTGTTGTCGCTGTTGTTGCCCCTAGTGGTCTTTGTTGCTGTTGTACGCTGCTGAATGTTTTGTTGCAATATTTGTTCAGGAAATGGTAGATGATGTTAATCATCAACGAAAAAGAGCTCCGTGTTCACTCTGTCGCAATCAACACTGCGTTAGTTGTCACAGCGTTACTGTCGCAATTAACACTACCTATCATAAATATAGACCATCATAACATTTCTCAAAGGTTATAAAATCGTTACATTGTACTACATAAGATGGCACTCAGTTGGTACCACCCTGGACGATGGTTAGCATGACTTTGTTGTAAACATCCAACAAGGCATTCTTAAACTTCGGTTGTCTGCTGACTTTCCAAAGTTCTGCATCGAAATGGCTTAGGTAATTATTCCACAAAGAATTATATAAAGCCAGAACCAAGTCCACCAAGACACTAGCTTTAACTTTAACATGTTACTTATGTTCGTAACCCATTGCACCAGTGTTTGGCTATGCAACTATCAAAACAATGTAAGTTACGGAAAAAAAAAAAGAAGTCAAATGCAGAAAATCCACCATCTGAAAGACTAACATCTGTACAAATTTTCTTGCTTAACAAGATGTAGCCTACAAAACAATAACAGCCATGTTGTACAAGCAAGAATTCTGAATCACAACAAGACAGACACACCAGCTAATTTTGAACCACATCAGCTTTTTAGGGGAGCAGTAGTTTTTTTCCTCACCACAACGATGAGTTTTCATGCTGGGAGAAAGTTTTCATACCTGCGTGTGTGATTTGTAGGCATTGGGTGCCATCTCTGTAGTGGCAGCTCCTGTGAAGATAAAAAGAAACCACAACTTAAACACAAGATGACTCCTACGCACAACTTGATTTGAAGTAGTAAATAAATGCCAAGATCATGCTTTCTCTTGCAGTTTTTATAACTCTGCAGACATTTCCTGGATACCATGAGCTTATAAATCTAAGCATGTCAAAGCTTGCATTAATTCCATCATCTGATGATACTTGACTTCTTTGACTGTAAGTGTAGCCCCCGAACACTAAATTTGTGATTAAAATTTGAACCATCACCCACCTTGTAATCCACAAGTCTTAAGAACCAATCCCAAACCATTACTCTGAAATTCAAAACTTAAGTTAGTAAGAATCTTAAAAGCCCAAAGCCCTTTGGAAAAAAAAAAAACTTTACTGTTTATCATCAAAAAGCCCCTTCAACATTACCAGAATACACGGTTTCCTCTAGAAAGCAGTGTGAACAAAGAAAAATTACAATTAATGAAGTGCAGCAAAACTTTTCCCCAAAAGCCCCAAATTCAGCACCCCCTGTCAAGATTCTAGGGAAGGTGATATTGCAACTGATTAGTTCAAAGGATTATTTTTAAGCTCTTTTCCACTCGCATCAACTACTTTTTCTAAAGTCAATTACTCGATATCTGGCCCGTCCAACCATTTCATGTAAATACAATATAGACACAATAATACACTTCTTTGTTTGACAGACGTGCCAAATAGTTACTTATGACAAAACGCAGAAGACACCAGATCCCCATGTCCTCTTCTCTACTATGGTGTGACAAATTGGGCGAGAATAAGAAGTGAGCAGTAGGTCAATATTTTCTCTCCTCCCTAAAATATAAAATCATTCCAGGGGACAGATAGATCCCATACTAATATTTGAAACTTTCGTTTAACAAAATAATAAAATAAAACATAGCATCAGCCTGAACAGCATAAACTCAAAGGCTGCAGGACTGACAATTCGACTTAAAGGACGCACATTTGCTAGCAAAGCAAAAGAAAATTACATCAAAATATTCAGTTTTCTCAAAACTGTAGCGCCGCATCCAGGTGAAAAACCAGCAGAACGCTATACCCTAACTAAATTTGAGGAGCACTTCAAAAAGTAAAGGAATATAGTACGGTACATGCCATGCACAATAACAAGAGGAGTGGGATGCATTATTCATTAAACAAAGGTAATTCTACTTCTTACATTTTATGTGGAATGAAACAATAACACGCTATGAAACATTTGGCTAGCTCTAAACAAATTTTCTGTCCAATGCGGTGGGAGAGAAAAGATTAAAACACCGCAGTACACAAAAGTTTGTCAATTGATTAAAATTTTGAAATGACACAACCCTTTATCTTCCAACAAGGTAAACCTTTCATCAGGATCGTCCAGAGAGTCCCCATACCCCTAGCCCGGTCAAAATCACACATTACAGACACAAAGATATGACAACACTGACAAAAGAAGTATACGCTTTGAAAAAGCTTTTAAGACAGACCACTGTATATCAGTGTCCTGACCAGAGTAAGACAGCACAAAATACTCAAAAATACCAAGGATCTTTGTTGTGAAAGGGTATTCAAATAACAAAATAGAACACAAATAAAAGCAACATAGCGAGCGCAAAAAGAGGTTCAATAACAACTGTAAAAATAATTTCAAAGACAGAATATAAATGTCCCAACCCCCCTTATGCCTATAACAGATACACCTGCTAATACAATGAGACAAAAAGCACATAACCAGCTATACCTATCCCTCGTGTCAACAGCAGTCATTGAAAAACGGGAGTGCATTTTTAAATAAAATTTTTAAAAAGGAAACACAAAATGTACCCAAAGGGCATAATCATAACAGTAAAACAAAAAGAGTGTTGTGAAAGGGGGAAGACTGAAAATGGGCTGGAGGTATTTCAGTCGAGGTGCCAGAAGTGCTGGAGTGTGAGATATAAGCTGGTGAGTCCATACATTTAAAACAATGAATCAATAAAGCTTCCGGTGGCCAAGGGGTTGGAACAGCAGTTGCTTGCTTAGAACTTGGTATTTCTAAAGAAAACATAGGACTGTACACAAAAAAAGCACTGCTTGGTTAGTAGACTGCGAAGTCTCATTTTACCAGTGTATTAGTTAAGCAGTCTATGAATATTATACCATGACGTGAGCAACCTCAATATGTTAAATTGGCCCAACACCAGTGCATACAATATTCTAATATTTTAAGACAAAGGCACAATATTTTCTTTTTCAGTTATAACAATTTAGATTACCAATAAACAGAAAACAACATTTTGAAAAAAAGCAAAATAATCTTCCAGGTACAACTCGATCAAAGCCACAGAATTGCATGCCATTTTCAGAATGTCAGACACGAGCATGAGGGGGAGAAAAAAACAAGCAGGGGAGCTACTTGTACATCTACATCTTTACAAAGCTGAGGAAAACATTCGGCACACTGGAAGGAACCCAAACAGAAAGTAATCGTTCAACAAAAGGCAAGCGAAGCACACAAAAGGAAATCTATGAACCAATGTTTGTAAAGCGTGAAATAAGAAAAACGGTTGTAAAGAACCAAACAAACAATATAACTGAAACCGTTGCATTACACAGTGTTTAGTTAGTAAAATATGGGATGACTGACTGGTCGACATACGTGTTCCCGAGGTCTTGCCAGCACTGGGAGAGCTGCCATAACCAGTCTTAGAGAAATCCTGTGCCTGGTTGAGCTCATCATACCCTGACAGATAATGCCATCACTATGTCAGAGCAGGTCTATGCTTTTTGCACACATTCAACACTAGGCCTCAAAGTTCACTTCACTCCTAGAGGACTTCACGCAAAGCATTTCATTTTGAATTCATTATTTTTTTTAATGTTATCCAGGCTCTGCATCTGTTCATGACATACGAACTTGACATAAAAGAAAAGGCCCAATCACTGATCACAAAGACACTGAACTCTGGTATTTTGACAAACAGAAATAGTATTGTATCACCACTGCCAAAGTTTCATTTCAGACACATTTAGAGAAGTTGCATAAAGTAAAGTCAGCAGATTGTAAAATGGAATATTGTTGGTGCAGCTTGTAAGTTAGGAGCACAACACACTGCCAGCTGAAAGATATACTCTCAGCTGATAGCATTGCAGTACAGCGAAGCTGGAGTCAAGTTCTTATGACAATGAAATGAAAAGCTTACTCGGAATCTAATAGTGCTTCCAACAGACAAAGTAGAAATTTAAAATTGACAAAATTCTATGCTTGGGGTCTGGGGGCCCTATAGGCCCACAGCAAGGTGCAAGGACAGCATACTGGTGGGGCTTCACAGGGCGAAGCTCCTTACAAATTGAAATCTTGTGCCTTCAGAGGGTTGAAAGTGGCATTTGAAAGCCTGTTTCAAGAGACTATCAACAACCCATAATACCTATTTTTTCACAAAGAGTTTGTGGTGCTTCATCTGATTTCTTCCTTTACACCTGCCTAAAAGTTTTAGGATTAGGAATTCTGTAAAAACAATGAAGATTGGAAGCACTAGTAAACTTATTTCTAATCAAATATTGTGGTCATCTCTTTGCAAGAAAGCATAGTTAATGCATAGAGAAAGAAATAGTATGTCCCTTGCACTGAAGCGTTATATGGTTAATATGAAAAGGTCTAGGAAAAAATAATAAAGAGAATGGCTACAAGAACATACTACAAAACTGTACTGTTGTTGGAATTGAGCTGGTGACATTTAAAACAAACCCATTACCATCATACAATCATTAGGAGCTTGTCAAAAAAAAGGGGAAGGACAAAATTTCCTCTACAAAAAACCTCCAAAAACTGAAACAAAGTATGTCTGGATCAGACAGTATCCATGAAATCCCCCACCACAAATAAAACCAAATAAGGCCTTAAAAGTTAGGCGGAATAAAGTATGAACCACACCATAACAGTCAATTATTCACACATGAATTATACATAAAATGTACAACAGAACGGACAAAAATTGGGTATTTGGTATTCCAAATCTGTTTGCTTAGCACCAAAAAAAAATATTTAAAAAATGACAACCCACGGTGTGTTTACAGCAAGTCGGAGTACAAGTCTCAGCTTTGCACAATACGACTCAAAGACAGCAAACGGGTACGCCAATCTTCGTCCACACATTATAAGCCGCACTAACTAGCTAACTGAAACGGATGGTGTTTGCCTCCTGCCAAATGCCTGCTTGCAGGCTCTGTTCATGCAGGCACAGTCACTTTGGGCTTTCCCCTTGATCTCCTCTTTCCCTGGAATTGAGCACCGGTTCTTGAACAAGGAAGAAAAACTTGATGTGCACAGGGAAGAGAGGCTCTTGACATTGAACAAGAAGAGCAGGCCTACCCTAGCTACAGTCCGGACTGACCCCTACCAAAAACTGAAGAAGCACCATGCTATTTGAACAATACAGAGTACGGGGTAAGAAAATGCCATGTAAAGAGGAGTTGCATGTGGCTTGAAGAACTCTCTGGCAAAAATACAGCGGCAATATCTAGAAGAGAAGTATGTACAATAATGCTGTCATCTGGGTATTCCACCCTCCAAGGGTTGCAAATTCTCACATCAGAACTTTCACCAAAGGTAAAACGTGTCCAACCTTTTTTAAAAAAAATTATAAACATCAGTGCACTGCTTCAAGCAATATACAAAATGTCTTTAACCCACACTACTGCAGAGAGGAATAATGGAAAAGCCAAATGTACTGGACTGTACTGAGGCATGGAAAAAGACTTTTTTCAAAAAAAGTGGGAATCAGCTTGAAGCTTCAATAAACAAAAATGCTCTTTACCCATTCTTTCCTTCAAGTGCAGCAAAAAGCACTTAATGCATTCTAGACGCTCTACAGTATCTGCTAAGGGGGAACAAAAGAATATGCAAAGAATGTAAATCACTGGCTTGGAAAGCAGTAAATTCAAAATGTTGCAAGCTCACCTTTGGTTGTGTAGACATGAGATGGATAAGACTTTTGGAACTGGGTGGTAGCCGTGGTACCAGCATGTGCAGCAGCGTTTGTTACTGGGGGGATCTACAGGGAAGAAATAGAGAGAAAAAAATGCAAATGAAGCTACAGTTTAAAAAACACAAAAAACAATTTTTAGTTTGTGTCCAACCTACAACCTTTCTGACGACGGCTACATTGAACTGCAACAATCTAAACTGAAACATGTCACATCAAAATACCAGTATTTTCAAGATGAGAACATTCAAGGGAAAACAATGATATAGATACTAATTTAGCAAGCTTAATTATCAATTAGGCACAACTAAGATTTGTTTATATCAAAAGAAACTTCAACTTGTCCACAATTTGATAACTTGAACCTTCCTTCTCTCAGTAAAAATGTCAACATTTTGCAAAACCTAATGAGGGACACCCAATGTTATTGCAGCAAACAAAAAAATTACATCAAGTGGGACCGGTTTAAGTGCAGTGTATGTGATAAGGCTCTCGTATTCCCCATTGCCGAAAACAGGATGTCCCAGGAAATTCGGGGCAATTGGAAAGCCTGCTAACTGGACCAAAAACTTACCGGAAACATGGGGTACTGAAGGCCCGCTGCTCCCGCTGGAAACATAGATGGGTAATAGTAACCATAGTGGAAATTGATCAAAGAGGGCTGTGCTGTTGAGTGGGGGTTCTGGGGTTGAGCAGCCGAATTTGGGCTCTGTGCATCAACACGTGGCATCTTGGATGTATCGGCAGATGTTCCTACATAGGAAAGAATTGAGGGGGCTCATTAGTCATTAGGATTCCTTGTCGGAAATAGAACAAGAATTTTTTTAAACATGTTAGATTTTCTCATATAATCATGGGAAGGTCTCATATTCCATAGCTGCCACTCAGGAATTTCAAAAAAGGAGGAAATTCATGCGAAGGCGGACACGCGCTCTCTGAAGGCCGGAGTAAAACCAGTGAGATCCAAAGGCAACATATACAGGAAAATCTAGCCTACGGTTTTGGAAGGGAAAACTGTCATATTTGTTAACCATAGGCAACTAAATTAAAATGTATTTGAAAAAAACAACAACAAAAAACAAAACAAAAAAAAACCCAACAAAGGCACTAAGTAGACTAACAAGCATTTGAGTTAATTTGACACAGTTTGGACTTGGTGACTACAAATCCAGTGTTTGTTGCAAGTTGGTGTCTTATAAAAAGATTTCTTTCACTTTAAACTTGTACATCGTTGTAGAGCGCGCGCAGTATTGGATCAAGGAGGCAACACCTTTGCCGCTGTACTGAGCACTCCTGTACACCTGCGGCCCCGTTTGCACTTAACTTAGTAGTCCCTCTGTAGTGTGTAGACCTAACCTGAATTAAAATTATAGCCTAGGCTATCTAATCTAGATCTAGAAATCTAAATATGTGTAAATCTTGATTATATCTAGATTCTAGAGATGATCTAGATCTAGATCTAGATATATCTAGATTCACTTAAACAGCCACAATAGCCGTCATGTGAACAAACGGGATCGCAATTGTACAGGAGTGCCGCGGGCCGCGATTTCTTTATCGCACCAAACGCAAAGTGCAGCAAGGGGAGCTCCTTTTATTTTTGCATTCTGCATCAATTTCTCTCAAATTTCCGCCGTTTTCAATGACAACTTGGCGCGCCAACGTCCCGATGCCCGATCGACACTTTGTTGCTCCACAATAAACAAAGTGAAACTAGCGCTAGGCCTAGAAGAACGGAAGTAGAAAGCTACGGGCGGACATGCGCAAGCTGCGTTTTCGTCTCTCTCCCGGTTCGGTGTTTTCCGCGAGTAAAAAAGTATTGCAATTTGCGACCGAGAGCGGTCCAAGCGGAGGAAGGAGGAAAGTAGCGGCAAAAGCTAGATGAAGCGGAGTTTCCGCTATTTAGCGGGAAAGTGGCAGCTATGATATTCACACACACACACACAAAAAAAAAGGTTTTATATACATTCAAACGTGACTTTAATCAGTGTTTCCACCAGCTGAAACTGAAAAGTAAGGAAAATTTCTGCAGGGGGTCTGGGCCGCATAGGCCCCCAGCAGGTTCCAGGGACAGAGTCCCGGTGGGGGTTCAGGAGAAATTGAAATTTAGTGCTTTTAGAGGGTAGAAAATGGCATTTGGGAGCCTGTTTGAAGATATTGCCTACAGCCCATAATATTTATTTTTTCACCAACATTTTGTCTTGTTTGACTTCATCACCAGCATATCTTTCCAATGCTGGAAATGTTTAAAAGCAGGTTCCCCTTTCATTGCTACTATAATTCAATTAATTTGTAGTCGCACCATTGACAGCAGGCAAACCTGGGAATAATGAATAGGTGTACCTTCAAAATACGGTTTTGCAGCGTATACCCACATTTTTTCTTAATTTTCATGTCTGAAAGTCGCCTGTCACAACCTGGGAACACCACTTCGAATTATTCTTGATTTTATACGGGGTGCTCACTATGGACGGGATCGGCCGATCGCCTCAAAAAACAAACGTGTTTGTTTTCAGTTTCAAAGCAAACATGGTTGTTGGACCGAGTCGGGCGATCAGCGCAATCGGCCGATCCCATCCGTAGTGGGCACGCCCGTGTATCAGCATATATTTCTTTCATCGCGGCCCTTATATTGCGTTCACGTGCCGTAGAATCTTCTAATTGATCACTTCTCTAGACCTAGATAAAATTTGCGAAAAAAGTTTCTTTCCGACAGTAACTTTCTGTCTAAGATCAAAATCAGTCTTGATCAACGCGCAGATTTTCCAGCCGCGGCAACAATCCGAAGATAGACAGAAGGAATGAGTGAATGACAGAAAGGAGGAAGTTGGCACAAAAGGCTCGCCAGATTTTGATCCATCTGCAGGTAAAAAATGTACTGCCGACCAACACGCAATGAATACATGGGACTGGGACATAGCGTTATAATGTCCGATTGCAGGAAATGCACAATTTGGCAGGTTTCTATAACGTTAACTTGTTGCCGAGAGAATTACCGTAAATATCCGTAACTTATACAAGACCATACGAAGGTGAGTACGGAATTTCGGCAGTCCTGCACTGTCGCAGTTTTTTTTACGGAGGGAGTTGATAATGATGGAGGGACAAGTACGGAACTGGCAGAAAGTACGGATTTCCGTAAAAATACGGAAGAGTGGAAGCACTTAATATATGAAGCACGTTTTTGATACACAGAAATACAAATGTGTTCATAATGCATAAAAAATATTGTGCTTTGCAGGCGTAAATTTTAAAACGGTAGGACAAGAAGAGATTTGGAACTCAAGACAGGACACCCCCCCCCCTGAAGATCCATATCAAACAGGTAAAAAGGTCAATTAAAACCAAATATTAAAACAGCAAACACGCATTTCGTAAATTAAAATGTTAAGATTTTTTTCCGAATTCACTTGCTCACCACGAGTTTTACCAAGCGCCCTATACATGAAATGTGTGTTTTCAGTTTCTTATTTACCAGAGAATGGAACGCTGGGGATGGGTGGCTGCTGGTCTCTGCCTGTTGGTAAGGTGGATCCGGCGGGGGCAGGGAAAGCACTCATGTCGTAGTAGCTGCCCGCTTGCTGTAAGAGATAGAAAGCATGCTTCTTTTCAAGAACAAACTATGGCAGATCCCCTTCACTGATCTCTTGGAGGCTTTTGCAACTTCCAATAGATTAAGAGGACTGAAAGTTGCAAAGTGCATAGAGAAACTGTAACAGCCAAACCTCATATCTTAGCACCCTATCTTATGAATCTTAGGGATTTTTTCACAACTTGAAAAAGTTTACATATTCAATGAAAAAGTGGCAAAACACTAGAAGGGCAACAGAAGTCCATTATAGAACTATCTCTTCCGCCCATTCTTTTCAGGGTTACTTTTATCCAAACTTGTTTTTGGTGAGATTCATCTGTCATCATACTCTTATTATAAACTTGTAATTCTCATAATTCAACACCACATCTAGCCAAAAATTAACCAACTACTTGGAACATGTCATCACACACACATAAAAACAAAAACAATACAAAAACTTACCAGAGGCATTCTTTGCTGCAGGAGCTGAACATCATCATATCCATACAGTGGGGGCTGCATACTCTGTAATTTAGTAAATGACGATGCAAAATGATTATCTCAATTACACTGCTCATAGATTTTTGTAAACGCTATCAATCCAGTAATTCACTTCCTGTCCTGAGAAAGTTCTTTCAGATAAGAAACTACATAATAATGGGAGGCAGGTGCCACTACACACACCAAAAGCAACAAAACTGTTGTACATAGCGAAATTACAATACAAAATAAACAGAATGACGGAAGTTACATTATCTGTGCATTAAAGCACATACGCAACTCTGCAAAGACATTTGCAGGTTCAGATTATTTTAAAATATTAAAATAGACCCTGAAATTAACTTTAATTGCAAATGAGGTTATATTCAAAATAAGGAAAGATAACGTAAGTCGCAAAAAATACAATAGCGCACAGATTGAAATCGAATACTCACGTAAAATGGGGGCATGGTGCTCTGTCCCATAATGTACTGACCCATCAAAGGCACACCCGGAGGCAGATTTGGTGGTGCCTTACCTGGGGAGTGAAGGAAAACAAACATACCAATGATCAATCTGTTTCCAGTTGTGTTCAATAAAAGATGATTTGTCAGTAAGAGTCCTTGGCCATCCACAGAAACAAAATAGAGCACACGGTAAAGGTACCACCCTCTTTAAAAAAAAAATGAAACGAGTGGAAGTAAGTATCCACCCTCAACTGAAAAACTGTCACAATGACCATTTTATCGAAATATTCAAATAATTTGCGGACTACTCTGCCATAGGCATACAAAACGCCTTTTTTCTCTTCTTCAGAGCAGCTTCAAGAAAAAGGTTTTTTTGTCAGCGTATCTGAAATTTTAATTCTAATTTATTCAAAAACTAGTCCGTTTCAATATGATTTTTTGCACACAAGCAGGGTTACTGATCAGGCCTTCGATTTAGCAAATAAATTTTGTGCCAAAACGAAAAAAAGCAGGAAAAAAAAGCATTTCATCAGCTTACAGCAGTACTGGTCCCCACAGTAATTAGTCTGCCTGCAGAAGGACGGCCCTGGTCTGTTACTTCTACTTATGTTAGACATTGATCACTGATCAAACATAGAATAAGAAGGACCAGACACTGAATTACAGGTAGGACTTCTATATCAAGGTACAATGACGCCATCGTCATGAACACTTGCAACTGAGCTTGTCTCTATCACAACCAAAAAAATTGATTTTTTAAAATTACTTTTTTTTTTCACATTTACTTCCTTATGATCATAATTATAATCAAAAGCCAGATCTAAAATAGATATTGGTAATCATGGTTTACCGTTCATGACTTTGCTCGGATGTTTTATTTCCATTTGTCTCATCCTAATTGTTTTTATTAGTGAGCAGCCCACATGGGTTTCTTTCAGCACTGCCTGATTGTTTTTTTCCTTCCATAAAAATCTGAAGTCTCCTAAGAAACTCCATTTCTGTTACTTCTGTATTTCATTTTCACTGTCTTGTAATTTCCAGTATTCACAGCCATATAGAAGCCACACACAGCCTTTTAGAACTTTTATTGAGATGTTCCTATTTTTCAGACTGCTAATTTTATTGAAAACGTCTTTAGCTGTTACAATTCTTCATATATTTCCTAGGAACATTAGGCATCAGATGTAATCACACATTCCAGATATTTAAATTATTGAAGCTGATCTTTTCACCTTTGCTTACGAGGTGCCTATGATACACAGACAATATAATCCTCAAGTAGTATTTTGCTCAATTTCCCTCCTTAGAGCTGAAGTGTTTGGACCACTGTACTTGTGACTTGTGCAAGACCACTACGAAATACCACTTGACTGCTCATAAGCCGTACTGGGTCAGGTACCTAAGCAGTTAATTGCATGTGTCAATCATGACACGCTGAATAAAATGAGGCTACTGATGATAAGATGAAAAACTTTTAATCCTTACGTAAAAAGATGAAATGAATGGAGGGAACATATCTAGATCAGCCCACAAAGAAGTGCAGGGATATAACTTACTCGTTGATGGCATTGAGGCTATCCGTGAGGTCGATGTGATGGATGTGGCAGTTGACGTGGATGAGATGGTAGTGGTACCTGTAGAGAGTGACGCTGTGCTTGTGGAGGACGGCAGGCTCAAGGCGGTAGACACAGTAGTTGTTGACGAGGTGCTCGAATGTTCAAACTGAAAAAAACAATGACAATAGTTCAACCTCATGACCTTATACACAGCATTGGTAAAGAGCTAGTTAGTCTATCTATATCCTCATTACAGTCGCCCTTTTCCCTCTCAGACATACTGATAACATGGGACAAATCTGCAATTATATAAAACCTGCACAACACATACCATTGCCAAGCATGGGGCCAGTAACAACTTTGATTCAAACTTCAAAATGAATGCGAAGACAGCTTTCCGACAAAGAAACCTTGAACGTTCATGATAAATGCACCACTGAACATATTTGCTGTACTCAAATCTCTTCTCCATAGTAGCTCGTTCATTAAACTTCTATGGCACTGTACTGCCTGTTTTATATTTTATGCCAGAAACAATATGTAAGTGCCGCGCAGATGAAATAGGCAGGATGAACTAAACTATCAAATGAACTATATAATGTAAATGACAATGACAGGGTGACAAGAATTAATAGGAGAAAAAATATCAATGTCAGCTCGTAGACTGGAGCAGCTCTTGTCAGTGAAAATCTTTCAGGGCCTACCAAAAAGAAAGACCAAATGCTACTATGACAGCTGAAAGCTTCCCTGTGAACTTTCTTCTTGACCCATCTATCGCTACCTCAGTGCTTTCTTGTCCTATCTCCATTTTTTTAACAGTGAAAACAGTTCATAACAAAGAGTGAGTAAAAAATGGAGATAGGCCGAATAGATTATGTGTTACAAGAGAATAACATACACAAAAAAGGAGAAGAGAAAAAGATGACAGATGTTTGATAGGAAAGAAGGAGCAAACCACAGCAGAGCACGCGCCAACCACCCACGTCCAAAGAATGAAACGACTAACAAATGCTCATGTTCAACTTGTCCTCAAATCTGCCCAATCCCAGAAGTCAATATTTATTTAGACCATTTAAAAATTAATCTAATATTTTTAGAAAGTTACGAGCTACGAAGAAGTATATTATCTTTCCATGGTTAGAGTCATTTGACAAAGAATTTAAACAAGACAAAATAATAGACAAGACAAGAGAAATGTCTGACACCAGGATTCCTCAGCAGCCAACTTTTCAAAATAAAAAAAACAGGTCTCTACCCACATGGCAGGTAAAGATGGTGGGCATCGCCCAAGTAACCCCCCTAAACCCTTCACACACTTTTCTGCATTCAATAAGTTTATGCTCAGTATGGTAAAGGACTCATCAACAATTAATTTGTGGGTGTCATTATTATTCATTTGGTCAAAAAGTTCATTACTTTTCTTCTGCATTGGTATTTCAGGGAGGACAATTACTAGAAATCAGAGAAATAGTGTTTTCCATCTTGTACTTGCAACAGTGGAACTTGCTTCCAAAGAGAGCCTTGAGGCCAAGCAGCAGAAAATGATTAAAGCATAGTAAATAAAGTAGGTGGAGGTGTGAGGCCGCCCGAAGAAGACAATAAAGAAGGGAAATGGAACACAAGTCAAAACTGATTACACGTAAAAATATTCAGTTAACCTGAATTACGAAAAGAACTCCTGCTATAGGTCAACCCCCGGGCTAAATGGAAAACTACATAGCCAAGTAGACAGAAGAAGATACTTGATAAAATAAATTCCTCAACGGGCATTTAAAAGTCATCTGTGTGCAGCATGGAAAGCCTAACTGTTAAACTACATATATGTCACTGAAATGTTCATGGGTTGTTATTTAAAACTAGTAAGCATATCAAACAAAAAGATAATAGGTGTTCTTTTGGGTGTAAGAACAATCCCACTCTTCCCTCCTCCATGTCCTTTCAATTTTTTTTTAAACAGACCAAAAAATGCTAGCAATGAACCTACCTGTGTTGACTGATGACCATCCAGAGCTGTAGTGGTGTCTTTCATCGTCATTTTCGAGAGGCTCTCCCCAAGTTTGTTGGCCAGAGACGAAGGCTGCAAAGGCGCCGGTGACGCGTTGAAATTTTGCGAATTGTAACTGGAGTTCGTCTGAGAGGTGGCAGGCTTCAGAGAAGAAGTCTGGCCTGTGGCCGGGAATGCTACTCCACTGCTAGACTGTGTGCTGACAGCAGCACCCGTCTGGTTGTCCCTGGAGTGGTATGAGCCCGCGGAGGGCGATTGGTATGTGTTAGACTGAGACGTGTAGGACGAACCACTCGACTGAGTCGACGTCGGATACAGAGAACTGCTCGGGCCACCAGTCTGACTGGACGAGGCAAAGTTTGACTGAGACGGGGGGTGGGAGGGGAACGGGGCATTGTTCTGGTATCCAGAGTACTGTGACTGTCCAGCCGAGGAATAGGCATTCTGGGTATTTGATGAATACTGAGACTGGTGGTTTCCATGAGGCATGGAGGGGTGCTGGCCTGTGGAGCCTCCTGACCCAAATTGATTCTGATTGGACGTGTACTGTGTCTGTGTGTTGTTAAACTGGGGAGGTTGGCCAGTTGGGGGGAACTGGTTGGCACTGGGAGGGGCAGGGAACTGAGTCTGAGCCGAGGACGGGTAGGCAGACTGACTAGCTGGGAACTGCCCTGGGAATGAAGAGCCTTGCGGGGGCTGTGAATTCGTGGTGTGTGTGTATGCCTGTGTCTGAGAGATGCTGGAGGCTTTTTGGTGACCTTGGTAAGAAGAGGCATATCCATTTGAGGCCGAATAGTTGTTTCCAATGTTGTTTGATGAAGTGTCATTCTTGCTTGGGGGTAAAGACCCTGCCAAAAAAGAAATACAACAAAGAAATTAATACTAAGGGATAAACAAATAACAAGAACATTGGAGCTGCATAAAATTCTTTCACTAGTAGCATTTAATATACAGTACATTCACCAATTCAGGTCCTGGCTCATGCCTAGAGTATGCACAAAGAACTTTTTGTGGATATGACCAAAACATCTGTGAATGCCTTAATGATAAGCAAAAATCAGTTTCAAATGGAAAATCAACCACATACTAAGGCATTGCTTCTGCAGACTAATAGTGTTGTGCACAAGGAGCTAGAATTCTGACGAACACTTCAAGAAAACCACTTTAAGCCATTACCTGTATTGAGATTCTGACTGGTCTGTCCAGGGCGCTGAGTTGACATCATAGGACTGGACTTCCTTTCAAGCTGAGCCGAAGGGAAAGGCATAGACTCTGGACCGCTAATCTGAAGATGAAGAGAGAAAAAAAAAATGAGTGTCAGTGTTCAGAAAATTGAAGACCATTAGCCTGTCATGGCCTTCTTTAATCCACTCTACTCCTTTTGCGGGATTGGGACTCATTTCAATGTGTTCACGACATTTTTTCCATATAGAAAGTTGAAATTTTTAAAACAAAAATCAATATTTTATGACCAACTCGATCTCTCCAGCGTAAATCATAAGCCATAGTCCAAACAGTGTTACGACTGTCACATGTCTGCCATTTCATAACATCGGGAACTTTATGGGAATGAAGTATGGGGTGGAAGTAGCAGGGCTTCAAGAAACTTTATGTGGCGATTTGGGTTAACTTTCAATGAATTTGATAGGTCAAATAAGATTTGACAACTTGGTTCACTACATACTGGCCTAGTTGCACCACTGTCTATGTCAAAATGGTCACTTCTTGTAACAAAGTACTTGGTTTGATTCATGTTCGACCTCTCAATCCTAGAACCTATTCTTCTTGAACATGGACAAAAAACTTAGAGGTCCGGTGTGCGCTTTAAAATGCACTATGTCTGTCAAAGGGCAGGCATACTAAAGAAACATACAGAACAAATAGCTGACTGAAACTGAAGATGCTGTGAGCAGAAAATCAATATTGTCCCTGTCATACTCTTACCGTATAAGCACCAAATTTCTCTAACATTTTTTATTCGTTTAAAAAGCAAAGAAATGTCTCTTACACAAGGTGACATTTAGAGCGATGCTAAAACTTTGCCCCGACACAAAAATCACGCCGCAAGAAGAGCATTGAATATAGTAAACCTTTTTGTCCCTCCTGTAAAATTTACTTATCGGTACTTCTATGGTTAGACTACGTCAGGTACGATATGGCAACACTGTACCAAAAAGTTTAAAAAGCTGGGTTAGAAGGGTAAAAATTGGGTAAACATACTTTGTTCTGTTCCCTTTCAATGTTTTGGGACTCTGTCTTCGGTGAAGAGGAGTTGTAAACAGAGTTATGGAACACAGCAGGCGGCCGAGCAGACGGCTGCGGCTCCATGTTGGATGGCACCTTTGCTGACCCCGCTGAGGGGGACGCCATGATACTGGAGACCATGGAGTTTGTATCACTACTTGAATTGCTCACGTGGGCTTGGTTCAAGTGGTTTGATATCACAGACGAAGATCTGAAAGCATAAAAATAACATGAGAATAAATATCCAGACACTGAATTGTCATTATTACTTTTAAATACTTTATCAGTCGGTGTAAGACTTCGGACAATGACATGTTCATAGGATACTTGTGTCTTGTGAGACTTTGTATTTCAGTCTGTTTTTACTTTCTATTTTTCTTTCAACATTAACAAAACCAATTCAGATTTCGGCCAGAGGAAAACTAGAGCATGAACAGACTTAACTGTGCCGCACTTTCAGTATACACATGTCCTAAAAACATGCAAGATCAAACTTACTGCTGGAATAAGTTCATTGATTGGCCCCAAAAGCAGAGCAAAGACTAAAGAGAGGCACCTTTCTAGTAACCAAAGTGGAAGAACTGGAGGAGCATGGGATGCTGTAAAACCTCCCCTCTACTACATGTACTGAGAACTCATCTTGAAAATAGCTAAAACACATCAGGGATTGCCTATCTAAAGATAAGCGTGCATTTCCATACACCAATGTCATCATTCTGTTTAGAGTAATCAGCTAAAATGACAGTGGACTTCATACAAATCAATCATTTCTTGCAGACCAATGTCATATTCCCACATCTTGTAACAGTAAAAGGCAAAAAAGGAAGAAAATCTGCCCGCAAAATGTAGCCATAGCAGTTTCGCTAACCAAAGCAGCAGCCCCAGTACTTTTAGATTAAAAATAAACAATATTTAAAAAAAAAAAAAAATTTGCTCACCCATTTGAGGTGGAAGAGTAAGTATTGGCGGCTGTTGTACTCTCACCACTGCCAGTTCCAAAGGCAAATGTGGAATTTGACTCTGAGCCAAAGTCGATTCCAAATTGCAGATCGAATTGAGGGTTTCGGGGAATATGACCAGGCATTTCTACAGCTGTTGATGGAATCTGTTGAAATTGACAAACAACAAACATGAATATCATTTAAGTCTGGGCGAGAACGTAATTCACAAATAGCTTAACTTTTATACAATTCTTATCCCTACAGATGTAAGCATCTGCCTCCATGTGAACTACCTTTACCCCTTCATACCCACGCCAGGTTTTTTTTTGGTAAGTGTTTTACAGCGCTGGCAACTGCATAATGATATATGACCGTGCGGGACACAATAAACAATTTCAGTTGGTAGGAAATTTTGAATTTTGCCTGGGTGGTGGCCGAAGCCTACTCTCATCATTTTAGACAACCAAGGGACACAACTTGGACACAGGACCTCCGAGATTTTTCACTCTTGCCCTAAAAGGCTAAGTGTAGATCTTTCCTACAAGAAGATCAGGGGTGTGGCTGGAAGATAGCAGTAAAAAGGAGCCAACAAGTAGCAGTAGAAAGTCTGCAGAAAGAGTCAGAAGCCCAGAGGAGGGAGCAAAGGGGGTGAAGGGGTAGGGGCAGAAAGTGGAGACGAAAGCAGACGACAGAACATTGCTAGAGAGCAGGAAAAAAGATGAAAGGAGACAATGTTAGAGAACGGTCACTACCCGGATTTGAACGTGGGACCTTTGAATGAGAGGCGAACATCTTAACCTCTAGGCCACGAGAGCCCTCCTCAAAAGAGTTTTAATTTTAAAAATTAGAGGAGTCTCCAACCAGATGAACAGGCATTTTAGGCTCAGGGTTCAAAAAGAGGAAACAGGAATTTCCTTTGACAATGCTTGCTTTATTAACAGATTCAAAATATGTTGTAGTAAACAAGAACCTAATACCTTCAGCAACATGAATTCACATAAGATGAAAAAATTGTCGGGGTGACTTCTAAACTGACTCTAGAAGTTCAACGCAAAAAATTTCAAACTTCAATATAAAACAGCCAGAGAAATCACAATAACGCTTGTTTTTACCTTTGAGGGAGGGGGCAGCTTTGATCTTTGGGGTTTTGGACGCTGCTGCAAATTGTTATTCAAGCCGGACTGCGCCAAATTCTGCTGCTGCTGCTGTTGTTGTTGTTGTTGAACAACAGATGGTATCCTGGACTGAGATGGTGGGGCTTGATCCCTACTTGCCTGTGTACATAGAACAGACATTTTCATTGTACAAATGAAAACTACTAGCGTATTATAAATAAACATGAAGCCAAACATTCATATCGAGGTAAACTGATGCCAATTTGTTGGACAATCTTTCTTCAGGTATTCAACACTAATGCAATGACAAAAGAGGCTTTATTAGCCTTAAGTACCAGAATCATCTAGGACTAACGGCGAGAAACCTTGTAAGACTTGTTTTCACAAGCACCTTAAATTAAAAACACTTGCAAAGACAGGAAAAAAAACAAACCTGCTGCTGACCACCAAGCCCAGGCAACTGAGCTGGCTGTGGTGCCATTCCCGAGACCTGGCTCTGCTGGCCTGAACCCATGCCCATCTGAGACTGTGAGAACTGGGAAAGCTGGCTCATTGTCTGAGACATGGAAGCCACCTGCTGCCCCTGTTGCTGAGATAGCGAGGAGAGGACACTGGTCACTCCGTCCTGAACCTGGCTCGAACTTTGGGTAAGAGATGACAGACCGAGCGAGTTTGTCGCAGACTGCTGGGGCATGGCCATCGAACTCATAGACTGGGGTGTTCTGGATGAGCTTCCAATCTGCAAGGAGGATATGAAGAAGAATGAACAAATGTCATTAACTTGATCAATTGAAATGGAAAAAAAAACAACACACGGAAAGAAGTGGAGTATCAGTAATAATTCACTTTACACAACAAACACTCCCAAAAAAAAAAATCATTACACATACACAACACCCACTTTAACATAACAAACTTATCAATTCTGTAAACCAGCAGCCTACCCTAAATGACCACTTCTAATGGTGACACAAAGAAAACCATTAAACTGCCGGGAAACTTTTAACTTATTGCAAACAGCATCTCGACAGCAATAATAATCATGCGATATATAAAATGGGATTAAAAGAAAGGAAATCCTAACCTGATTCTTCTACAAAACAAAACATTGTGGAGCTTCTTGCAAGAAATCCCCAAGAAAAGACAGCCATGTTCTAAGAATCTGAACTTCAAATATTCTGGAAGGATTGTATCTCCAACAGATTAAGAAACTCACCCCAATGGTGTTCTTGATCGACTCAGTTGCAGCTTGTTTGAACTGGTTGATGTAAGCATCTCCACTAGGTTTGCTATAGTCGGGTGCCTTCGAAAACTTTGCAGATTCACTAAAGAGACTTCCAACATCCAGCCTGGAAAAGAATTTGTTCAGTCAAGATGAATATGATCGAAATGGTCTTAACTGAGATGCAACATTGTAAAAAGTCTTGTAGAGTCGACACGTAAAAAGTCTTGTAGAGTCGACACAAAGGCGAAATCCTATGAATGTAAAGAAGACCACCTTCAACTCAAAATTACTTTTATGGGGGAAAAAAGCACTGAAACAAAAATGCAATCCTATCGGTATAACTTAAAATAAAATTGCATAAAAATTCCTATCTGTGTTGCAGCAAAAAGAGTGTTCAAGAAAAACATTTTGCACAAAAACGACAGATTCTCAGTTGCTCACCTTTGTCCGAGAGAGCTTGGGGGCTCACTTATCACAGGATCTGGTTCTGCAATCTTCATTTGAGACGGGGTAAACACCTTTGTCTCCTCCAGCTGAAAAAGCACCAAAAAATCTTTTTTAAAATCAGAAAATTTTTAATCTGTATAGAAAACAAAATATTACACACATTTTTAAAAATTGTTAAACGCCACCATTCGAATCTGGACTACTCCTCAGGTCCTCAACATACTGAAATTCATTTAAGATTAGTCTAAGGCAGGTGAGTCCATGTACATTTCCCCCTGACAGCCATTCTGATGGGAGATTTTTTTTTAAAAGTGAATACCGATAAATTCCACCATATTTAATCTCAAGATAAATTTAACTCTTCACCATCACTCATGTCGTCATTGACCTAAACAAAAACAGAAAAGGCAGAATCAGACCGAAACAGCAAAGTACAGATTCTAAGCAAGACCTCTAAAAACAAAAGCAGATATTACAAATCAACTTACCGTTCCAGTCCATTGGTCCTCTTCATTCACCCAAGACTCGTTCCAGTTGTCCCAGTCTGCAAAAGAAAAATGTTCACGAATATGTAAAAACTACAAAGCACATTTCTTGAAACTATATTTGCAGAACTATTTTTCAACCTTCAATAGACAATTCTTGATCAATATGACCCGTATAACAAATAACAAGACAATTTCTCTTCTTGCAGGAACCAACCCATCACCTAAAGAAAGTAGCTAGCATACATTTAATAGAGAAGCTGAACAGGAAAAAAAAAACATGTTTACTACAGGAAGTACTGAATATAAAATTTTAATACATACCAGTATCTTTGCTCGTGTTTGTTTCAGCAGTTTCATTAGTCCATGTGTCAATCTCAGGTCCATCCAAAGGCTGACTGTTGTTCATCTTCTCAAATCTAGGCACACGGTTGTAGCTCCTATATAAAAAAAAGATTCGTTCATACTCAATGAGCATAAAATCATTGTTTGATGGCTAAGCTTGTTTTTCTTATCATTTTCAAATCAACAAAAGCCACACATTTTTGTTGATAAAATTACCCACAACAAAGACTGTTAATGATGAACACACACTGGAGCTATATACAGTCCGGCACATGCATAGCAAAACCAATTCAGGTCACCAATTTTGTTCTTATATATTATATTCTTTGAATTAAAAACATACACAAGTAATAAAATGTACACTTAATGAAAAGGTTTCCACACCCAGATGATTTTCTTATGAATAAGCTAGACTGATTGCAAACTGCTTTGCTCAAGGGCAAAAAGACTGATGTATCCTGAAAACAAAACAATTTCAGAAACTAAATGCTTTCTATTGGACTGATCTCCACAACACCTTTATCTTCCCAGTACCACAAAGTGATAATTTTAATAAAGATCAAGCAGCAAAATTTGTGCTATAAGGGTCATTTAGAAAGTGAAAGAGACAGCATTCTATTTAAAATGTGATCGAACACAAGTATACTACAACTTGTTTGACTATCTTAGAAACATTCCAATCAATCTATGTATTAATTAGTATGCCGCATTAGCTGCTGACAAATGCATTTTGTTGCTTTCTAACTACAAATTCTGTCTGAACTATTTTTGCTTTAACCCTCTGTGTACAGGACAGCACACAAATAATGCCCACAGCATGTGATAGATGTCACTGCCTGCTCTTTTGAGAACATCCCGTTAGCACATTAATTAAAAGAGACCCATCCTGACTGTATAAGGCAAAAAATATACCTGTTATCTCTGTCTCCACTGTTGTTAAAGCGTCCACCACGGCCCCCACCACCAGTTCTGCGACCACCAAAACCTGTGAGACAAAATAAAAATGTTGATGTTACTAATCACCACTTTTCCAGAGTGCTGCAGAACAGAAACGTCCTTACGAACACAAAAAAAAGCAAAACCTAAGGACAATATTTGCTACATTTCTATTGTTGAAGACAATAACACTACCAAAAAAAAAAAATTAAGAGTAGCCTTCAAAAGAGTTTTCAATCATCTTGAGTTAACTGGAAGTAAGACTACAATGAGGGGTACAACTGAATAAAGCAAACAAAGATTTGTACACACATTTAAGTAGAAGTCGAATATTTTAAGCCTGGCTTTGCCATGAACCATCTAAATCAAGAAAGTAACAAACGCAGTCAGAAAATTATTAACCTGTCAATACTATTCAGTTAAAAGCTGGGGAAAAAAAAAAAGTTTCACTCTGAATTATTGCAAAACAAAACTTTTACTGGGAGACAACTGACCTCCTCTTCCTCTTGACCTTCCCCGGTCACCACCACTCCGATCTCTCTTGTCATCACCGCGATCGTTGTCCCAGTCTTCGGCATTATTGCGATCTCTGTTGTTGTCCCGATCACCAAAATTGCCCCTCTCTCTTCCTCGACCTCTAGCAAGACGAGGAGGGGGTCCTCCGTTACGTCTACCTCTCCTTGGGGGAAGATCTTGGCGATCACTCCCCCCATCCCGGTCTCGGTCATCTCTGTCTCCTCTGTCTTTGTTGCGGCTGTCATAGTGGTCATCACCAAGGTGGTTGGACCCATCCTTCTGAGACGCAGCCTTCTTCTTGCGCTTTCCACCTTGCTCACGCCACTCCCCTTGCTGAAAAAGAAACAGCATCCCACGTCATTGATGACTCAACTTCCCCTTGTAACATTAATAATGAGTTCACCGGTATCCTACATTAACTGCAACCAAATCAAATGCAAAGGATTAAAAGCCCAACTTGCAAAGAAAGGCAAGAATCAATATTGTCTAGCTGGGCATCAGGATTTCTCATAGCAGTACCAAGATAATTAGACTACTGTAAAGGCATCATTTTAAACATTGGTATACATACTTTTATCTTCATCCCCATGTAAATACAAGCACCTACAGTGGAATGGTTAGGCTCTTCCCATTGCACACACAAAAAAGTTTGAATTCTTCAAGGCACAAGGGAAGGTTTATTTTATTGAGTATTTCTGCAGACGCTGTAGCCCATTCAGCAAGTGTAGAAGCAGCCTGCCTTAGATATCAAAATCATGATGGAGCACAAAACATTTTCCAGCCTCAATTAATCTGTTTCCACACAAGAAATACAAATGCAGCAAGTGTAGCTCAAAGACTGCATATACAGTCAAATCTGCATAAGATGGCCACCCATTGTCAAGGAGAAAACTGGCCGTATAAGACAGGTGGCCGTCTTAGGCAGGACTGGATCAAGATAAAGAAAACAAACCCCATTCCCAATCGAAAGTAGCCGCATAACTGTTGTTTTTGTTGTTGGTTTGTATTTTGTTTGTTATTTTTATTTTGTTGCTGACTTTGTGCAAGGGTGACAATAAAACTAAATGTGTCAGACAAGGAGGACCGAGTACTATGGTAAAACAAACATATGGGTCGCCACTACTCGAAGAACGAGCGACGCTTCTGTCACAAGTCCATGTTGACGTCCATTGTTACTTTGTTACCGACTGGGTAAACAGTGACCACTCATCTCACTTACATTTGTGTATGAGTTCTAGGCGGGGCTTATGGGTTTTGCGGGATCACACGCTTCCCTCACCAGCAGCTGGAAATTGGTACCAATTGGTCAACAGTGGGAGGGGCCTACGCAACATGATCGGTTGGAGGGACTACCCAACAACGACAGGTGATTGAATTATGACGGCTCGCCCACAACGCCAGGGGTCAATGCACAATTAATGACAAAACGTAATGGAGTCACTAAGGTGGCCGTCTAAGACAGGTGTTATTGCTTAGTGAGATAGGGGTTGTGTGTTGAAATAAGGTGGCCGTCTAAGACAGGTGTTATTGCTTAGTGAGATAGGGGTTGTGTGTTGAAATAAGGTGGCCGTCTAAGACAGGTGTTATTGCTTAGTGAGATAGGGGTTGTGTGTTAAAGTATGGTGGCCGCGGCGGACAGGTGCCCGTTTTACACGGTTAAATTATATAGGAAAAAACGCAAGGGGGGAATCAGAAAGTGGCCGTTTGTACAGGTGGCCGTCAGGGCAGGTTCGACTGTATTTATTTCAAACAGACCTAATGTTATTAAGGACAATCTTGTAGTAAAGTTATGTGAGTGAAAGTTTCTATGGGTTTTTTTCTCAGCCCCCCTTTAAGATAGTACAAAATGTTTGAAAGAAGGGGGAGGGAAACAAACACCACAGCAAGGTTTTAAAAAACATTAATATTAAAGGTTTATTACATTTTCAAAGGGTTTGTAGGGTATACAGTACAAAAATATTTCACAAAAAATAGGTTTCATCAAATTACTGTGAGCTTCAAACTAGTACTGGGACCAAAGGCTTGGTTCAATATGTTATCAAAATAGACTAAGGTCAATGTCATTTATCTCTCTCCCCCCCCCCCCCCCCCTCACCCCAAGTGTAGATCTCACATTGCAGAAGAAATCGATGACTTGGCTTCTCCATCTTTCAAATCCAAAGACTAATCATCAATAAAACAGTTACTAAAAATTGCGAGATGAGCAGATCATAGCTTACCTGTTCTTCCCCTCCCTCCAGGAGCATCATGACCGCTCTGTCTGCATCATGTTCTGCGTCGTGAAGTGCAATGACAACCACATCTTCACTCTTTCCTGTCATTGCCATCAACTGGAGAAAAAGAAGACAGCAATAAATATTAAGTCGCTTCAACTGTGGATAAAGCATTTCTAAATTCTCAAGTCATTCATATGAATAAATCTGATTATCCACAAAAAGAGAATGGAGAAAAATTGTTCAAATCATAAATATCAACTGATACAGTGAAATCCAAATTTTAATAGTGCTATTTGCTATAAAAAATATCTTCCTTATGCCTTACAGTATTACAAGGAACTTATTCTTTTTTCCGAACACCAAACACAAGCCATATGTCAGAGACTAAAATCAATTGTCTCACAAAAACCAAAAGAAGCTTACTACAGTAAAACCAAGGACAAAATTGCTTTGTTAATGCATTCTGAGGGAGAATCTCTGCTTTAAAGAGGGGCAAAAGAAAAAGGCAGGCCTGTGTTGTGAAGACTAAATATGATACAAAAGTCTTCTTTAAATAAATTCTTCCAGCGGAAAAGATAGCTACAAAATGAAAAACCACAAAGATGATCTTACCTCTTTCACAGTATCAGGATTGGCATCTGTCTGATTGGTGCTCATCATTTGAGCCAAACGAATCTGATCCTGTGTTGGCTGAATTTTGTTTGATTGTCCTTCATTCTTTGATAAAGTTTGTTGTTGCTGCTGCTGCTGTTGTGAGTTATTCCTTTCATTCTTAATCATCTTGTCTTTTGGTCCAGTGTGTCTGTTCGAGCCAGCACGCATGGTGCCAACTGATCCACTCATACTTTACAACACAGGGTGCCTATGTACAAAATTATGTACAGAGTAATTCTGAAAAGCAAAGAAAAAAAGGGGAACTCATTTGAAGTGACTATTTCTCCGAAAGCTCGGGAAAATAAACTTGACCTCTATTTCTCCTAACGCTTTCTGTTCTCGAGATTTGTTGGGTTATTTGCCAGAGTTCGGCGTCATCTTTCATTCTGCAAGAACTGGGAAGAAGCATTTTTTAAAAAATCGAATTCAATTTCTAGAGCTAGAGATGGTTAGATGTCTGAATACTCAAATACTTCAATTGTGGTTGGGGCAACATTCCTGGACTACACTTCATTTGAAAATACTTTCTAAAGATAGATCTACTGCAAGAAAACAAGACTGCTCGACTTTGCCAGTAACCTATTTTGCATTTCAGGAAATAACTATCAACAGTCAAAGGCTAGGGCATATCAAAAAAATCCTTGTCTTGTTAGATTCTGGCAAGCCAAAAATAAGACTTTGATCTAAATCTAGATTCTAGATCTAGAAATAAATCATTTTAGATTTAGGCCTAATCCTATTCAGACCATCTACATATTATTTAAGGTAGCGTTAATTGCGACACAGTGACTGTCACAATTAATGTGGCGTTAATTCCGACAGAGCGAGTCTGTGACAAAAAAGAAGTTAAAACAAAAACAAAAACACACGCACTCTCTGAAACACACACACAAACCAAACTAACAAACAAAGACAGTCACAGCTCTTTTCTTGTTGTTGCCCCTAGTGGTTTTTGTTGCTGTTGTAAGCTGCTGATGTTTTGTTGTAGATCTAATTATAATTATATTATTGCCTCAATATTTGCGCTGTCAGATCGGGTGTTTATTGTTCTCGAAAACACTCGAAAACACTAGGAATCAACCGAAATCACCTTCGTACCTTTGGATGAAATCATCAATTTAGTATCAGAAGGCAGCCTAGAATCAAAGATTAGGCTATGCTAGAAGTAGAAGGGAGTGTATAGTGTATACAGATCCGGTAACCGGGAACAAAGTCAGAAAGTATACAGACCCGGTAGGGGAACTCTTTTGTGATTTTGGAAAGTTTCAGCGCCCTCTTGGCTCAGGGTAGACCAAGGCTCTTCTAGATCTATGGCCTAGGTCTAGATCTAGATCTAGACAGACAGTCATAAATCATTGATCTAGTTTCGAGGCTAGCCTAGATCTAGATCTAAATGAAGATTGCGGATGTCTTTTCGATAAACGATTGTTTTTCCTCTGTTTTGGAGTTGGAGGAATCACAATTTGAAGAAAATAACAATGTCATAATTTCAATCGAGCAGTCACCCCACCCTCTCTCTCTCTCCTCTGTGTATCACTCGCCTTCTCTTTTTCATTGTCTCTGTCTTTCTTTCTTCCCACCTATTTTCCCACTCGGCCACCTCTATTCTCACCCAGGGTGAGAATAGCGCAGGCGAGTCTTTTGGCTATTCTCACCCGGTGTGCGTTCACTGTTATAGCCTAGATCTAGATCTAGGCCAACCAATTTTGCTTTCACCCTAAACCACAGAATTCTACACTGTGATAACAGAAAAATTGTAGAATTCTGTGCTGTGAACAAATACTCCAATACTACTGTTAGCCTACTAAAAGCGTACAATTTTGTCTGTGGGCAGTGGAGAGAGAGAGAGAGAGGAGTAGCGCGAGAACTTCCGGGCAAAACAAAATGGCGACCCGCCTATTTCGGCTCGATTCGAAAAGTTAAATAGCCGTAGCATCTTTGTAGACGACCAAATTAATTAACTTTTGTGTTTTAACATCATTTTTTAACTTTGTTTTGGTCAATTTGATCGTCCACACCGATAGACAGTATTCAGAAAGAGACAGAGAGAGAGAGAAGAGGGGAGGAGATCTTGCGAGAACTTCCGGGCAAAACAAAATGGCGAACCCCGTAGTTCGGCTCGATTCGAAAAGTGAAATAGCCATAGCATCTTTGTAGACGATCAAATTAGCTTATTTTTGTGCTATAACGTAATCTTTTCTTTGCCTTTATCCATTTTTGATCATCCACATCGATAGAAAGTATTTCGAAATTAGGAAAAACAAGTCTTGTTTCACACCGGATGAGAATAGCCTACGGTGGCAAGTCTCACCCGGGGTGAGAGGTCGATCGTATTTCTATTCTCATCCCGGGTGAGGATAGCCACTTCCTTCCCACTCTATCTTTCTCTTGTTCCCTCCTGCCAACTGGGGCATGTCATATACATTTTGCTCGCACACCTCTCTCTCTCTCACACACACACTACCGGGTCTGGGTGCTGAAACTTTCCAAAATCACAAAAGAGTTTGTTCCCGGTTACCGGGTCTGTATACACTTTGATGCTAGAATCTCAGTATTTCTGGACCGGTCGAGGATAGCATTTCCAAATGGCGTGACGTGACAGAGAGAGATGGGCGGGTACCCGGAGATACAGGGGACACCCACGAGCAATAATAACAAGACACTTCGCCAAATTCACAAATTATCGAAGCAGAGATGCCAACCACAGAAAACCGAAATGAGTATTGGGAAATTTGAAAATGTGTATTTTCAGGGGAAAATGTGTATTCCCCACGACCGACCGACTAGTAATAGTAAAATGTTCAAGGTGTCCAGCAATATTTCCTGAAAAAAATTACTAGCTCACCAGCTCGAAAAAGGGAGTACACATGCGTACAATATACATGTATCCAGTCAACAACATGTTAGTGTTCAGTGTCGTACTGGGGTCTTGTTTGACTTAAATATTTCAGTCTATTATACCTGTAATATTTTCCTCTCATTATAATGTAAAAAATAAATCCTGCTTTGAAAGTTTGGAAGGACCTAAAACAAAAATTTCGACTATCAAGAACCAGTCTGGGTGTCATGATCATCATGATCCATATTATGAACTGACAGACTCAAATCATCGCTCAAACTCAGAGAAAAGTAATAACTTGAATGGCTCACGTAGGCCCGTACACTGTGAGAGTTGTAACAACTGTGGTATGGCAAGATGCAGTGACACTGAAAATCTACCAGTCTTGAACAGAAAGCTACAATATACACTGTAGGTATAATTTACTATCACCCATCCAATGAAACGAGAACACATTATTTCAATAACACAGACTTGCAAAGTATGAAGGGTCCCAATTCTGCACACGGCTTGCACCAACTTGCGCTTTGCAGAAAGCTCTAATCAAAATTCTGAAATGCGCTTCCAAGTTTTTGTCCTCTGGTGTTGCCTTCACACCCTCCCCCATAGTATCTTAAACCCCAAAAAATCAATAATCTCCTCCCCTATTCCATGGTCCTATACTTGGCAAGACCGTTACTCCCACCAAAGCAATCTTTGCTCACACGATGCCGCATTTATTTATGATGTGAAGGTTCATTGACCGGTCACGATGGCCAGCCAGACAATCTAAAAATCGGACGACGCTTTTTTTTCCACACGTGACAGCACAGAGGCGAGTCCGAGCATTGGTTAAATTTTATTTGCACGGCGACATTGCGTTTATACTGCACAACCTGCTGGTCACAAATGTTGCGTTATCAGACAACTGCTGGCAAACTACTTGGTGGAAACTAAAGCAGATCTTGATTTTTCCCGATTAAGCCTCGGTGTCACATACGCTTCCGCCTGCCGCCATAGCTGCCTATTCGCGTGAAAGTGAAACGTACTGTACGGACCGGGAAAAGCTGAACGAATATAATATCACGATCGCGACCGGCAAAATGAACTTACTGACCTTATCGGACTTGGTTTTCGAATATTCCAGTTCTGCGTTACTGATACTATTTTGACAAAAGATGGGACTTTAGGTTTAAATTAGGTTTACTTGCCCAAGCTGAATCTCGTATTTTTCGCATTCCACGATGCGTATTTTTTCATGAAAAGTCGTATTCGCGTATTTTCGGCAAAAAATCGTACTAAAATACGTAAAATCGTACTGGTTGGCATCTCTGTTGAAGGGATTTCGAGTGATTCCTAGTGTTTTCAGGTGTTTCCTAGTGTTCTCGAGAAAAATAAACACCGGTCAGATCTAGATAATCAAATGTGTAGGCTACAGATAAGGCCCTTCCACAGATAAAGTCAACTCGACAGTACAGAAAGTCTTTGCGGAGTTTTGCCACACACTTTAAGTTCGCCTTCTCAACCGTTTCAGATGATTTCTTCCTAATTGCAAAAAAATTTTTCATCTTTCAATTTACTAGCAAAAGCTTTGTCAAATTCGTCGTAAGATTTGAATGCCTGCACTAGATCTAGATCTAGAAAGCCTTCCTTGTCAGGCGGAGATTGAGATTCGACTAGGACCCAATGCTGGGAAGTGAAGCGGAAATGGTAGATCTAGATGATGTTAGATTCTAATCATCAACGAAAAAGAGCTCCGTGTTCACTCTGTCACAATTAACGCCGCATTAGTTGTCACAGCGTCACTCTGTCACAATTTACCATTATTTACTAGAAAAGATTAATTATTCTAGGGATTTAGCGGACATATCGGAGTCAGTTGAGTCAGTAGTTTCATCAACCAGGCTGTTGTAGGGTCAAGGATCAGGCTTCCATGCGTAGCATGTTACATTTGACTTGACCCAATTCAAGTAGTGATCTGTAGATTCTATCTCCATATGGTATGATCCTCCTATTACATGCATACAAAAATACTTTTTTTTTTACTTTACCCTTCCCTGTCTGATGAGAGTCTGAAGCCCAGCATAGAACACTTGACAGTGACAGATTGCAGTTGGATAATTAGACAGTAGCATTACAGTATTCATTCTCTCAATGAAGATCTGGACAAGGACCTAATCTAGAATACCTTAACAAAATCAAAGGACAGAACAAAATTTAATGAAGAACCAATGTATCAGCTGCACATTCTTCAGCACCTACAGATACATGAGCTTTTGCT